GCAACTATCAAAGAAAGACTGTCAATAATGCTGAAACTGTTAGTAATGCCAGTACTCAGTATGATCCTACAATGATGGGAGTAGAAAAAATCTGTAAGCAAGTCAAATCCAAGTGTGTCGAATCTCTGCCTGTTATATTAGAGAATAATGAAGGTCATTGCTGTAAAAGAAGAGTTCTAGTGTTGGGAGACGAAAGTGGAAGGGGCTGTGCGTCGAAGTTACGCATTTTGCTTAATGACTCTGAAGAAGCGGTTTCGGGAATAATTAAATCGTACGCCCCTCTACATGAAGTTGCAAAAAATATTTTCAGCAGTACTTTTGACTATTCTAAGAATGACGTTGTTATTGTTTGCCTAAATGTAAAGAAATCTATGATAGATTATTCGGTCCTAAAGCAAATTTTTGGTATTGGTGAATATACAAATTTGATTGTCTGTTTTAAATATATTCATAACTTTTTGTTCAAAAATGTTAGTGACGTACTGTCAGAATTTATGCGTAGGAACTATAATGCTTCCATTAGGGTGATAGAGAATTTTAGAATGCGAAACAAATTCCGACATAATATTCCTAGTCTTAGTAAGCTTTTATCTTTGTACATAAAAACTAAACCTTTGCAAACTAATGCTATTGTGCCACTAGCTGACAAGAATGATGTAAGCGAAACATTAAATGTGGATTCTGGGTGTGAAAACATAAACATTATTAGTGACCTAAAAATTTCAGAGTCTAATATATCCACCCTAGCAGGAAACAGTGAGATTTCTTTTTTAGAAAATGTACCCACCACTCTGACTGTATCTCCATAGTGGCACTGAATATTCAATCTGTTAGAAATAAACTAAACGAACTTGATATATTTTTAGACAGTCTACAATACCCAAGCATAATATTGTTATGTGAACATTGGCTGAAGCCTCAAGAACCTTTTAATTTAACAAGGTATACTGTTTTAAGTAAATATTGCCGAATAACTTCGATACATGGAGGAACAGCTATTCTACTAAACAATGATTTTATGGAATCTTTTCGTTTTTCTGACATTAATAAATTTGACCATTTGCTTGAAGAAAGAGTCTTTGAGGTTTCAGTCGTATTTTGTAGGCAAGTTAATTTGTATGTTCTATGTTTGTATAGATCTCCCATAGGGAATGTAGAGGATTTTTTATTCAAGCTTGAGACCATTCTAAGCCAATTGAGCTGTAATTCATTAATAGTGCTGGGTGGTGATTTCAATATAAATTTCTTGGCTGCTGATAGGAACACCCAAAGGTTGGTTAATTTATTGGGTTCATTTAATTTGCATGTCATGGTGGATACTCCCACCAGAATAACCCCTAACTCTTCCACTACTATTGATAACATATGCACAAATTTTGAAAGAAATGATAGTAGTGTAAGTGTTGTAAATGCAGGTCTTTCAGATCATGAGGCCATTTTTTGTAGATTTAAGATCAGAACCGGAAGACGTAATGAATTGAAACGAAAGGGACGGATATTCAGTGCAAGAAATTATGATAAGCTCTCTGAATTGTGTGCCTGTGATAACTGGCAAGCAGTTCTTAGTTCCAATAAACCTCTGGAAACTTTTCATAAAAAGTTATCCTCTATATTCAATAAAGCATTTCCAATAAAAAACTTGAAAATAAATAAAAAAAAGCCATGGTTAACAGAGGGCATTAGGATTTCTTCAAAAAATATGCGTTCACTGCATTACATCCGTAAGTTTTATATCAGTAATATTTGTTTCATGACATATTATAAAAATTATAGGGCTATATATCGTAGGTTGGTGAACGCAGCTAAAGATAAGTACTATAGAAAACGAATAATAGAATCCAGTAACAGACAAAAAGAATCCTGGACAATTGTTAATGAGCTAATTGGCAAAAAACGGGAAAATTCAGATGTTGATACCACACTTTCACCTCAGGATTTTAATAATTTTTACTGTTCTGTTGCTAAAAATCTCTCTAGCCAAATTGGCATTGCACACGATTTTAAACATTTTTTCAAATATTCATCAACAGGCGAATCATTTTTTTTTTGTGCCTACGGATGTAAACGAAGTTAAGTTTACATTTAATGAAATTAAAAATAAGAATGCTTCGGGGTGGGATGATATATCTGTCAAATTATTCAGGAAGTTACCTGACAATGTTTTAAACATATTAGTTTATGCTATCAATAATTCTTTCCAAAATGGGTTTTTTCCGAACAGTCTAAAAAGGGCCAATATAATCCCAATATTTAAAGCGGGCGATAAGCAAAATCCCTCAAACTATAGACCTATAGCCCTGTTGCCGACTCTATCAAAAATTGTAGAGAAACTAGTAAAAAAAAGAATCGTTTCATTTTTGAATGAAAAAAAGATTCTTAGTCCCGAACAATATGGATTTCGAGCTTCCAGGGGGACTTCCGATGCAATATTTGCATTCCTCGAGGAACTTTTCTTGAGACTGAATGACAATGACGTTGCCGCAGCGGTGTTCTGTGATCTCACGAAAGCTTTTGATTGTGTCAGTCACAGAATATTGCTGTGGAAACTGCAGTCCTATGGATTTAGGGGATCCTCTTATAAATGGTTTGAGAGTTATTTGCAGGATAGGACTCAAAGTGTTCGCTTTGGAGGTGATGTTTCTGGACAGAGAACATTACAGTATGGGGTGCCTCAAGGGTCTGTTCTTGGTCCAATATTGTTTTTAATTTATGTTAATGATATAACTGATCTTGGCATCTCAGGGAAATTTACATTGTTTGCGGATGATGCAACTATATTATGGCACGACACTAGTATGGGTTTCTTGAGTGACAAAATAAATAGGGACATGGTTGCTCTCAAGCAGTGGTTTGACGCTAATCAGTTAACACTGAATATATCGAAAACTAATGTCATGCATTTTAGGTGCACACTTGAACCTATCAAACTTGATGACATTTCCTTGTCGAGCACCAATGAGAATAAATTTCTAGGGCTTCTCATTGATAGCAGACTTAAATTCCAATCACACATAGAAAATCTTAGGAAAAAACTTGCTTCCAACTGCTTTGCAATGAGAGTTCTCTCTGGAGAGCTTGATTCACAGACCGTGAGAAATGTATATTTCTCACTCATAGAAAGTCACTTAAGATATGGACTGTGTTTTTGGGGTACATGTTCTGCGCAGTTGTTTGATAGTGTGTTTGTGCTGCAAAAAAGAGCCATAAGGTATTTGAGTGGAGCTAAAATGAGAGATTCATGTAAACCTTTGTTCATAAGACATAAAATTTTAACACTTCCCAGTCTATTTATTTTAGAGGCAGTTTGCCTAGTTCATAAAAAATATAGAAATAGCTTGCATGCAACAGGTTTGTATAACACGAGGCAAACTTATAATATAATACTGCCAATACCATCCTCGACACAAATTAAAAATTCTATTATATACAATAGTCGGAAATTATTTAATCACTTACCTGTGGAAATAAGACAAGTGGAAAGCAACAAAATATTTAAAGGGATGGTGAAAAGGTTACTAATTGAGAGGGCTTATTATAACTGTACTGAGTTTTGGAATGATAGATTTTGACTGTATCAATTGATTGGCTCTGCCAATATCATTATTATTATTATTTTTATTTTTATTTTCATGATTTGACTTTTGTAATTTGTGCTTATTGTTTTATTCCTGTAGCGCACGTATAATGTATATATATATATATTTTTTACCGTCATTTTAATTTAATTTGTGTGACATAATTATGTGAGTGATAGGTAGTTGACGTCCGTGACTACTTCTAAGTTTTATTTTTATTTTTTGTTTGTTTTTGCCTCAGTTTTTACAATTCTTTGTGTTGGTTTCGATTGTTGTGGATCATTTTTTGAAATTTTTATCCTTTTTATGATAGATAGATAATAGATAATTTTAATTGTTTTATTAGGCCTGCTTTGTCTATGACATTATTTGTTTTTTTGACAATAAAGCTTATTTGATTTGATTTGATTTGATTAATCTTCGACTAATCTCTCTAATTAGTGGTTTCATGAAGAATTATAAAATACGTGATTATTACCTTCTGAGGTCAGTTTTTGATAAGAAATTGAATCCCCGATATCGAATTCAAACCCATCTGGACTAAACTCGTATAAACCGTCAATGATATACTTATTTCCCCGTTTACGAGTAATTGTACCGATATTAGTGGAAAAATTGTATTCATCTTTGAATTCCTTCTCCAGAGACTTCACTGCGAAAGCTTCAGAAAAATCCTCGAGATCCTCAACACCGTCGGTGTCTGTTAGGATTTTCACCGCATCTTCGACTGATAATTCTGGATTAGGGCGATGGAAAAATGATAAAACGTAACTGAACATGTTTTGGCTTAAAAATAGAAATTTGAAAATCTACTTGTAAAATGTAAACAATCGGAAGAAAAAAGTGAGGTTAAGTCATTGAAGCTGTAGCGTTTTCAAAAATCTAGTGCACGTATTGAATTGTGTTCGGAGTCGAGCCAAATTTCACGTGTTCCGAGTTTTCTGAACCCAGAACAATAATTTCTGTTCGGGATTTCGATTTTTAGCCTTTAACAGTGTTGCCAATATTCTTTAAAACGATTGCAAACCCAGTGCCGTACCGTTGCTCTAGATTCAAGAAAAAATCAAGATTTTCATTAAAATCCAATAATTCTTATCTGTTAATTCTTGATAAACCGGAGCCAAAACAAAAAGGAAAATGATAACATTTGACACAGTCGAGTCCGGAGTCCAAAATCTCTCAAAATAACTGGACCAGTGCACACTGCAAACCCGTAGGTTGTGGTGCCTCAATTTCTCTAACGAAAGTTATATAATCGGTGCAACATCAGCCAAAAAATTGAGTTTCCATTATATTAAAAATCGAGTTTCTCATTGGCCCGATCCTTCAAATATCTTAAAAATCCGGCCAATAACGGATCATTAATCGCTTGTCTTGATCACTCATAATTTTTTTTGTGGTGGTAAAATAATTGAGATTGCAGTCATGAGTATGAGGAGCAACTTGACGTCAGTCCGTCAGATAAAGCGGGCGTTGGGCGAGTTCCGTGATTGTTTGAATTTGGGGGCGAAACAGCAAAGGGCTAGAACGATGGCTACTCAAACCCAAACCAAAGAATCTCAAACTAAGCACTGTCTCGGTATGGACAGTCTCAATCCCAATATTAAAGTGCTGGAATACGCTGTCAGGGGCCCTTTGGTCATTAGGGCTGGAGAAATCGAAAAGGAACTGGAAAAGGTAAGAATTTTTGTTCTTTATAAATAAATAATTGTATTTGATATATTTAAATATTGCATATAGGTATACAATATGCAACACAATGTTTATTTTATAGCAATATTGATTAAAAATTGTCTAAGGCCCGGTTTATTCATCTTCTGATAAACTGCCAGATAAGTAATGTAGTAATGCAATCTGGCAGATACTGTAATCTACAACGTGTCCAAGATAAGGAGGGCCAGTATGGGGATCTGATGATATGGTCGCCCAAAGACGAAACGTCGGACTAAAAATTTGATGATGCCATAACTATTGTAGAGGAGGAAAAGTGGCAATGAAAAAGTGCCATTTATTTTGAAATATCTCTTCAAATACATAAGGTCAGGAAAAAATAAAATCCTTCTGGTCTAATTTCGGGTTTTCCTGGATATCTCCGATATCACTCGGAATTTTTAATATATCAGAGCGGTATTTTAATGAGCACAAAATTTCGCAACTTTTTCCTAATTTAAGCAATGTCGTATCTTTCAGTGTTTCTGAGATCCCCATACTGGCCCTCCTTATCTTGGACACATTGTATAAACCTATTGGTTGGCCAATAGATTGATAAGTTTATCTTGTAGATAGTTACCACTAATTTTATCTGAAGATGAAAAACCTAGGCCTCTAATCACATTAGAGTATAGAATTTTTAATACCCATTTAGAATAACTCCATCCCTATTTATCAATCATGAATCAAATGATACCATATTACAAATCACTAAAATTACTGGTAATTACTTGCAAATAGGTATTAAAAATAGGTACTATACAACCTTCTTAAATGGTAGTTAATTTTGTTATTAAATATATAAACTCCTGATATTAAATATTGATTATTGATTGAAATTTATACCTTGCAGCTTTTAAGAAAATATTGATCTACCTACCTACTTGGAGTATTTCATTTAAGCCTGGTTTATTTACCTTTTGATAAACTGTCGGGTAGTAATGCAATCTAATAGATAAAACCGCAATTTCCCAATTATAGATTGATAATTTTATCTTGTAGACAGTTACCAGTAGTAAGTTTATCTGAGGATGAATAAACCGAACCTTGATATTATTTTGGAGTACCTTTGGAAACCTAGAAGCAATTAGGACAGCATTCTTGATAGTTATCTTCCATAGTCTTTACCAACTCATTATCTAATCAAGTAGCAATAATAAGATTGAATTAGCAATTATTATCAAGGTTTTTTTCATTAGGGTAAATTCTTTTATGGAAACTTTTTCCATTAATTTGAATTTACATGTAATATTTTACATATTATTATAATTCATTATCCAAATAACCATCATTGGTGATTGGCAATTATCATGTACTCTGAAAAAACCTAAAAAATTCAAAGTAGAGAAGGAAAAAATTTGAATGAAGATAAAAAAAGAAATTGAAAAATTATTGATTGAATCTATTTTGCCACCTGCTAAAACTTTTATGATGTAAATTCAATTCAGTGTTTACCATCATTATGCTAAATCATTATGTAAAGATATTTTTAAAAGGTGTATCAATAAGATTTGTTCAACAAGCTCTATTTATAGGTTTCAGTGGCACAGGATATTTTTTTGGCAGGACAAATACTTATATTGGATTTGAAATAAATGAGATTTCGATAATGAGGAGTGGAAAAACTCTGTCAAAATTCACTTTGGGTAATTTCCAGAAAAATAAATAAATATCGTAATACTGGCTTTGTTTAAATTAAAAAGGAAATAACCACTTTAATGTTATTAAAAGGTGCTCTCTGTCTGAGGGATATTGGACTAATTTTTATCAATAAAAACATAAAATTCCTTGGTACTAAATTTTTAAAGATCATAGCTTTTTTCGTATTAGAAATAGAAAGCTGAATCTTTCACTGAATTTTATCCCTTTCAAAGGACTACAATCCCTGAAAATTTCAGCTCATTTGGACTTCTAGTTCCAGAAATAAAATCGTGTTTGGGGTGGATTTATCAATTTTTCTGAGTGGCTTTTCTTATAAATTTCGGCTTCAAAACTCAGAATAATTTAGTGTGTAGAGTTTGAGGGTCCCAAATGATCATTTAGACACAAAAATCACAACATAAAGAAATTTGAAATTTCATAATAATTGAGAGAAAATGAGATTTCAATTTTTAAATTTATCACAAGATAATAATTTAGATAAAATTAGAAACAACTAAACAATATACATACTTGAGTTATTCAAGAGTATGTATGGTTGTTACTATTGATCAGTTTATTGCCAGTATGATTAAAAAGAGTATTTGCTCAAGTAACTTCCTAGTAATTTGTGGAGTATAATATTTTACATGGAGTCAACTCCTTGTTAAAATCCAGGATCACTTAGGGCTGGTATTATAATGTCCGGTTAACCGATGGTTGAGTTTCAACCGAGGTTTCATCCTTCCGTGAACTGGACATTGTAATACCGACCCTTAGAGTCCTTGAAAATATCTCCCTTGCATATGTCCTTCCTTTTCTTACCATTATAATTATTTTAAAAAAGCCATTTATAACGCCTTTTCAATCGAAGCAATTGATGTGAAGTTACTCTTGAGTAGCTTCTCAAAAACTGCACTGAATACTCTCAAATGGAGGAAATACTAAAAATCATTAGTAATTACTGCAGTATAAACTTCTATACATTGAAATAAATAGAGCAAATTATGAAGTAATTGCTTCTAGTACGTACTTACTTTAGGAATTATGTGGAGTAAATGTTATAATTTTTTGAAGTGAAAACTACAAAATGGAGCATTTACTTAAATTAAAAGCAAAAAATACTCTTTTTTAATCATACCGCCCATTGACTCTATTACATATAGGGATGGCACCTTGGTCAATTGACCAGTCAAAAATTGTCAATTGACACTCAATTTGACTGAAGTTAGAATATTTGACCAAAGGCGATTTCGCCCCAGATTTTTATCTGCTGTTTGGTAGGCAAATGGTTAACCAATTGGTACGTGAGTGACATATCTCAACAATCTCATCCGAATTCAGTGAGTAGGTCGTTTGGTAAATTTTGACTTTGTCATGTTTATTTAGACATTAAACAGAAAGGTACCAAACCTCCACTACCCAGTCAAACCGCGGTATAGCATTTAACAGGCCAAAACGCCTACCAAAGTTGCTGTGACGGCATCATTCTCCCATCCGAAATTGATTGGTACCTGTTTGGTTTGACAGACCAAACTGAGGTACCAAACTGAGGCGAAATGGCCTCAAATCAATTTGACCAATGTACACATGAAGTACCTGCAGAAACAATAGTTTATTGTATAGAAAATACAATAAAAATATACTCTAGAAAATTAAACAAACAAAACCCTTTTCTTTGATAAAAAGGACAAAATCAAAACCAATTTTTTCTACTACCATGGGTAAAGTACACACTATTCAGAAGACGTAAAATTCCATTTCACACACTAGTGCGTAAAATAATTCACTTCACACACTAGTGCGTAAAGTAAAATCAATGACAGATGTTGACACTGTCAATTTCATATTGTTCTGGTAAATTACTTCACGCACTAGTGCGTAAAGTGAAAATACTTCACGCACTAGTTCGTGAAGTATTTGTCTAAATCTATTTTTTACACATATTTGATTGGTAGTAGAAAAAAAAATGTATGCAATACATGTGTAAAGCACCTTTTTTCACTCATGTGATTGTCGCACTCGCCTTCGGCTCGTGCGACAAAATTCACATTCATGAAAAAAGGTTCACTTTACACACTTGTTACATAAATAACTATTTTCTACTTTTCGAAGACATAAAATTTCACGTCACGCACTATAGTGCGTAAAGTAGTCCACTTTACACACAAGTGCCTAAAGTAATGTCAATGACAGATATCTATATCAATCTGTGATAAACCACCAAAACATTATGTCAGTACCTACTTCCTTCTAAAAAGCTATAATTGTATTATATAAGGAATACTGCATTTTGCCAGCCAAGTGCTATCGATAAAGATAATTAAAAGGGCCGAATTTATAGTCGGTCCTTGAGGTTTCCTCAGACCTTAAGGAAGCCTTGAACCTTTAGAATTGACATGACTGTAACTTGTCAAATTGTAGCAAATGTCCATTCTAAACTCACAACCTTCAAGGAAGAGTCAAGGAATGACTATAAATTCGGCCCTATAAATTATTATTTATGTTGTTACGAGAGGATTTGGGAACATTATTTCTAGTTTAAATTTTGAATGCTCCAAGTATTAAAGGTTCATCACGGAAGGTTTTATGTGAATTCTGCAAGCATACAAGAAAAATATTTGTAAATTTGTAAAACCACAAATCCTGGTTTTATATTTTTTTATGTCATAACAGTACATTATTGTGTTTTTATACCTTAGATGCCATCTATATAATTCATTACTTTATGCCCGTGCGGGCATAAAGTGCACATTATGCATAAGACGCAAAAAACAGTTTTCGATTAACTTATTCTTTACATACAAAAATATATATTTATTATTCAAAACCAACTGGTATGACATAAAAGTTTGTATGCACCACGGGTACTAATAGATATATACCCTTGGGCGACTTACAAACCCTCGGGCCAGAGGCCCTCGGCTTTGTAAGATTGTCGCCCTCAGGGCATAATCATCTACTTAGTACCCTTGATACATAAATAACTATTATAAACCAGAAACATTTGTTGTCCAATTACTATTTAATGATTTATTTCCCTTCAACACTAACAAATTAGGGTGTCAAAAAACCATTTACCGAAGTCATCAAAGCCAATATTGGAGATTGTCACGCCATGGGCCAAGTTCCAATCACCTTTATCCGTGAAGTCTTAGCCCTAGTCACCCTGCCATCACTTTTAGACGACCCGCGATTCAATACCGACGTTAAAGAACACGCCAGAACAATTTTGAAGGGTTGCAGAGGCAGTTCTGTAGGTTCTTACACTGATTCGCCTGGAATCGAAGTAATTCGCAGACATGTGGCTCAGTACATTGAACGAAGAGATGGTATCCCTGCTGATTGGCAGAATATTATTATTAGTGCAGGTAATTCTTCATTAATTATTTTTTTTGAGAAATCAACCTATAATTTATTCCAGGTGCTAGTGATGCTATCAAAAACGTCCTCAAACTATTGATTTGTGACGTCAACAACAAACCTCCTGCTGTTCTGATCCCTATTCCTCAATATCCCTTATACTCAGCCTCTCTAGCCGAATTTGGCATCACCCAAGTGGGTTACTATTTGGATGAATCCAGAAATTGGGGTTTGGACATCGCCGAATTGCAACGCTCTATAAACGAGGCCAGGAAAACTAGTCATGTTAGAGCTATTGTGATTATCAATCCTGGAAATCCAACTGGGCAGGTTTTGTCCAGGGAGAATATTGAAGAAGTTATCAAGTTTGCTTATAAGGAGAAATTATTTATTTTGGCTGATGAAGTCTATCAGGATAATGTTTATGCTGAAGGGTCCAAATTTTATTCGTTTAAAAAGGTAAGAAGAGTTACTGTAGAAAAAAATTTCAAGAAACTCATCTACCTTTGTCTGAATAATTTTTGAGAAAAATTTAACAGATATAATTTTGTTCTAGGTATTAATTGAAATGGGTGAACCTTACTCATCAATGGAATTAGCAAGTTTCATGTCTTGTTCCAAAGGTTACATGGGTGAATGTGGTCTTAGAGGCGGATATGCCGAGGTCATCAATATGTGTCCCGAAGTAAAAGCAATGTACCTTAAAGCCATCAGTGCAATGTTGTGTCCCACTGTCCTGGGACAAGTCGCATTAGACTCTGTAGTGAACCCACCTCAAAAAGGTGACCCCAGTTATGATACTTTCATCAAAGAAAAACAAGCCGTACTGGATTCGCTTAAAGTAAGAGCCAAAATGGTTGCGGACACTTTCAACTCGATGGAAGGTTTCAAGTGTAACGTTGTCCAAGGTGCCATGTATGCTTTTCCAAGGATTGATCTACCACAAAAAGCTATTGAGGCAGCTAAAAAAGTCAACAGAGCTCCTGATGCTTATTACGCCTTTGAATTATTGGAGAACACTGGAATTTGTATTGTGCCAGGTTCAGGATTTGGCCAGCAACCTGGAACTTATCATTTCAGGACTACCATTCTACCACAACCTGATAAATTGAAGGGTATGTTGCAGAAATTTGAAGAGTTTCACAAGGATTTTATCAAGAGGCATACATAAATTTTGTTGTAAGTTTCACTGGAGCAATTTTTAAGAGTTAAAGTGACAAAATTATAATTTTATATTTATTTTTTTGTATTTAATATTCTACTACAGATATGTGTTTTCAAAACAACTTAGTATTCAGTTTAGAAATAATTATTATAATAGGTATGACAATATTGATTTGAGATTTTTAATTCCATATTCTAATGGATGTGATTTATGTAATATTAATTTATTAATAAAACTGTCTTGTTATTGAAATTTGTTATATATTTAAAAATATGTCTTTAATAATACAGTATAATACAAAATGAACAAAATAAAAGTAAAATTAGAAATAGTAACTAAATAAATAAACCAAAAATGTTTTTTTAGGTATATTCTCACTTTATCATCACCTGAATTAAATGGGCAGTTTCAGCATTTGTCACTGTTGTTTAATTACACAATTAGAACGTCTACATATGCCTCAATTTCTCTTGGAGTTATTTGTAAACGATTCTTCATTGGCCGGTGCAGAAGTGTAAGTCAAACACTGGTACTTAAGGAGGCGTTATCTTAATGACCTTGAAATTTGTCAGTCCTGTACTCTGGAGGGTTGATTTTTTTTCAAAATCCTCTGCAAAGAGAAAAAAATCCCTCTCTCCTTTTTGCAGACGAATTTGATAAAATCAATTAATCAAAGCACAAAATTGACATATTTAATAAAATGACACCAGTGTTTGATGTATACTTTTTTACTGACCAATAAAAATCGTTTACAATAACTTTGAAGCATGCTTCAAACGCTTTCCTTCTGTAAACACTGAAAAGTGACAATGATGTTCATTCTCCCTATTGTATTTTAACAACAAATCTTAAATTTCAATAGTGTATTTGAACTAATTCTAGACAATAATTGAAGTAGTTCAAATATTGTCAATCTTGGTTATGATCCAGTATTCAATAGAAATTTAGCCACAAGACAGAAATGGTCAGATCCCAATGAATCATTAGGCATTTTAAACCCTTTCAATTCCGATCTGCAAGGCAAGCTAAAATAACCGCTAAGTTTCAAATTATCATCTTGAAATTGGCCCTCTATTTTTTTGCCACTGTAAAATATATAATCAACCGTAACCCATTCGTCTTGAAAGGTAGTCGCTTGTGGATTGGCCAAATCGTCATGATTGTAGGCTGATTTGAATGCAAACTGGTGCGACAAAGTCCCAGTGGAAAATAAATTATTTGTTTTAAGTGTTGAGCAATTTGAGCTGCAAATTTTGTTGGTACTGTGGTAAAGCTTATTTAAATCTACTTTTTTTGATAAATTCACGACATCAGATTCATAATTTGAGTTTTTATAATATGAATCGCGGGTTTTTACCAACAGTGCATGCTGACAGTTGTCTGTTATTTGAAGATCAGATGGTACTAAAAGTAAATGTCAAAAATGTTTATTTGTTTTAAACATGAACAACTTACTTAAAACAGGTCCTTGACAAGTCACTCCTTCCTCGTCCAATTTCTTAGCAGCCAAATACTGATACTGCAAATGACCTTTACAAATAAATTTGTACAAACAAGAGGTAGGGGTGGCATTAAAATCTCCACTGAGAATAATCGGAAGGTAGTTTTTCTGTTTTTCAGAGTCCAAGTGAAAACTTAGCCTTTCGATTTCAGCCAGTAAAATTTGCACTTGTGCCAGCCTGACATCTTGCCGTTTAGGATTGTAAAGCAAATGAGTTGTTGCCACAATAAACTTATTTTCAGGTAGATCTTTGGGGCAAAACGTTGCTACTATTGCAACATTGTCCCTGTTCAACAGAGGGATGTTTGGTTGCATAAACTCTACAGTTGCGTAGTCTAGCAATGAAATACTATCAATTTTGTAAAATATAGCACAACCGTCACATCTTAAGCCTGTACGTTTTTTGTAAATGCCAACATATCCTAGCAATTCAAGCTGCTTCAAAAAATATTCATTTAAATGAGACTCTTGCACTTCTTGCAAGCAAACAATGTTAGGTCTGTGGTTCGAAATTTCTTCGTGGATTCTTTTCCATCTCTCTTGCCATTCGAGGGCTGCATTATTGTGTTTGTTATACAAATAAGGATGCTGTTCAAGTAAATCTTGGGCCAATACGTTGAATGACATCACACTGAATTCGAAACTTTTTTTAAAAGCAGCATTTTTTTCAAACGTTATTGGCACATCAATCCAATTTCTTAAATCAACAGATCTGCAATGAATTGAAGAAATACATATGAGTATTTGACAGGTATTGTAAAAATTCTCTATTAAAACTATACTATAATTAAGTTTGCAGTTTTTTTAAAATTGCAGTAACATATCTGTTGAGGCACCCCTTAAGGGTTATGTATAGGTTAATAACAACAACAATACAACAGGGTTGATTTTGTTGTGCTAGGGGTATTAAAACTTTGACTGCAAGAGTTCATCATCTTCATGGTGCTTGTAGAGTAAATAAAAAATTAAATGATGTACTCGAATATACTTACTCATTTTGAGTTTTGCATTTACGCGCCCATTTATATGCGTTTACAGAAAATGGTTTTATATATCCAGAAGGTTCAGTTCCAGGAGGGTCAGGCTCATTTTGTGTAGGTGCACCTTGTAGTAGATTTAGATTTATGGGTACAGCAGCAAAATGTTGCTGTTGTCCTGGATGAAAATATCTTTGTTCGTATAATACTTGAGGATGCCTCCACCAATTTCTAGAGAAACTGGAATATCGTTTTAATAAAAAACCAAGTTATAAATTGAGCTTACTTTAAGCCAAAACGAATGGGTTCCCTCAAAGATCTTCTGAAAAAGCCATTAGGCATTGGCTGTCCATTTTCAGGCATGAATCTGTTATTGTTATTCATTTTTCTTTTCATTACCAGTTTCAATGAGCCCAAAGCAGTTTGATTAATCTAAAATAAAGCTAATAATTTGGTTGTGGACTACTGGAACAAACTAAATGTGACAGGATTCAAAGCAGTACTTAGTACTTCGTACCAAGAAGATTTTTGCCTTGGTGGTACCATCCATATCAGCTTCAAATACTGGAAGATTTTTAAATTACTGACAATGTTTAAATTGTGAATTTAGTACCTGATCAATTAATTTTCATCTAAAAATAAAAATATTTGAAATCATTCAAAACAAAAAAAAAACAAGACAAAAGTGGAGGGATATATCAGCTGGGTTCGGCTATTCAGCGCGGAGTTGGAGTGGAATGAACAGAGCTAATGGAGTCATCCCTAATACGAGCTGGGTTCGGCTATTCAGCGCAGAATTGGCGTGGAGTGAACAGAGCTAATGGAGTCACCCCTAATACGGTAAAAAGCAATACCCGAACGGCTAGAGTGCGAATGGAGTCACTCGGTGTGCACGGAGTTAGCAAGCCGAACCCACCTACGGTAAAAAGCAGATATAAAAAGCAATACCCAAACGGCTGAGTGCGAATGGAGTCACTCGGAGTGAGCAAGTCGAACCCACCTTTACATATCGATTATCGAACCCCCAAACCGAACAAAACGACTGTCCTGTCACTCTCGGTTCAAAAAAGTCGAACACGTAAAATTCTGTTCGGAGTTCTAGTAAATCGAGCGCTTAGAGTGAGCCCAGCCAAACCCAGAACCTGTTCCAAATGTCAAAATACTCAAAATTAAAAATGATCCTGTAGTTTGTTTTTGTTTATATAAACATATTGAATTTATTTGTGTATTGCAATATTTAAACATTAAAGTATATTGGCTAGTCGTAAAAATAAATCAGGTAATGAAGACTTTGTCTTAATATATTTCCCAACAATAGAAAACAGTGAAAATTCCCCAATTTTAACTGCACCCCAATTTTTTTTTTTTTTAAAGTTATTATTATAGTTCTTTTTCTCTTTATAATACATATTTTAGATAATACTAATTCTCTAATTAGTAGTGCATAGGAGCACTCACCTTGAGAATATTAATTCTTTAGTACAGTGCTTTGCTATATTGGATTAATTAGTCTTATAAGGTCTGTGACAGTGGCGCACCCAGGGGGGGGGGGGGGCTCTGGCCCGATGGCCCCTGCAAAACTCAATTTTCACCTAGGTATAAAAAAATGTGGCAAATTCAGGGTGTGGCATCCTGACGCCTCAATTTTTCTGTAGATTTTCAGTCACAAGCCACAACCTATGTAGGGCCCCCCTCCCCCAAACATATTTTCTGGGTGCGTCACTGTTCCTGGAAAAAAATCAAAAATCAGGTCATAATCTGTATTGTCAAAATATCACTTAGTGTCTCTAGGGATTAAAAAATCGTAGCTCCGCTATCTTTGGTTTTTTTCCAATCAAATTTTGGTATGTTGAAAGTAAAAGATTTCTGGATATATATAAAAAAAAATTATTCTCCAAAGTTTCCCAGATTTCTAGGAAAAAAATCAAAAATCAGGCCATAGACTGTAAGGCAAAAATCGGGGGGCGGTTAACTCTGTTAAATCGGTGTACAAATGGACTTAAATCACTTTAAATCCCTTATTAAATCACATAAATCACCTTGTTTTGCTCTAAATCAGATTGATGTTAAATCCCTTCAAATCGTTCTAAATCCCTTCAAATCGTTCTAAATCCCTTTAAATCTCTTTAAATCCCTTCAAATCTTTTTAAATCAATTAAATCCCTGAAAATCTGAGATCCGGAACACTTTAAATTAAATCCCTAAATAAATTCCCCTAAATCACATTAGTTTTTTCATATATCATATCAAATCACCTTAAATCAAGTTAGATCAATTTAAATTTTCTTAAATCTCTTACAATCCCTTTGAATCTTTTTAAATCTAGTTAAATCTGGTTAAATCCCTTTAAATCTTTCTATATCTCGTTAAATCTCTTTAAATCCTTTTAAATCTTCATAAATCTCCATAAATCATTTCAAATCGATAAAAAACGAAACTTTGGGCGACTCCAACTCGACAAACCTCGAGGTGCAATCGCTTATAGGTATTCGTTCGCGAATTGCGGCTTGCGCGAGTTGCGCGTACGTGTTTTTGTTGGCGGACAGGAAGAATCTTCAAATTTTTTGTGAATTCAAATTCAAGTTTTAATTAATTAATTGCATTGTGTACCAAGGACCAAGACTAGCTGACTTTGGTGGCACTTTTAGAACTGATAAGGTGTTCTCATTCGGGCTTAATGGCCGTCTTAAGTTGGAATTTCTTCCTAAGAAAAAGGAAGAAATTCCAACTTACGACGGCCATTAAGCCCGAATGAAAACACCATTTCAATAAACCTGGGCCGCGAAAGCCTCACTTTATCACTTTTAGAACTTTTTTTATTAGTTTAAAATTTAAATTGGACTTTTATTAGAGCGAAAGTACCTATAAGCACTAAAATATCTAGTTATTAGATATGTTATGGTTAATATGCAAATTTGGCTAGTTTGTAAACTAGCTGGATAGTTTACTAACTAACCAACCCCTTGGCTATTTTGATAGAAAACGCAATCTTTACTAAAATAGCAGCTAGTTTGCAAACCAACCAAAGGTTTTGGCTAATTTACTTCAAATTATTGAGAAAACTGAATTAGCTGGTTAGTTTATAAACTATCCAATGCAGCCTGGCTAATTTTAAAACCATGATTTCTAGTAACACAAAATAGCTAAACTTTTAGCTAGTTTGTAAACTAACCAACCAATTTTCTCGCTAATTTACAAATAATGTTTAATGTTCATGGTACATATTTCTTATTCGATAAATTAGTTGAATGCAAATTTTTGCTTTGTTCTTTTTTAACTGGCAATTCTCACATCCATCAAGAATCAAAGTTGGTAATATTAGAATATTTATTTATTAGCTTTGTTGTAACTTGTCTTCCGCCGTGCCCAGTTTGATTGGTGAGATTCTTCAATAATATCAAATAAATCGTCTATACAAGCTAATATTTTTCCAGATATCATTCGTTGTAAAGTTGGAAATTACTTGCTCTATAATTATACAGATTTGTTAAAGAAGTGTCAAATTTTTCAACCTAACTTTGTTTGTAAATTAGCCAGAAAATTGGTTGGCTAGTTTATAAACTAGCCAAAGGTTTGACTATTTTGTGTTACTAGAAAATATGGTTTTCATATTAGCTAGGCTGCATTGGATAGTTTATAAACTAACCAGCTATTTTAGTTTTCTCCATAATTTCAAGTAAATTAGCCAAGACTCTTGATTAGTTGTTGTTGTAATCGTTTATTTAGCTATTATAACTAATTACTACTTGGAGTTACATATACGTTATCTTAACATCATATTATTATTTTTTAAAAATAACACACATAAACAATTAATTAACATTGCACATCAATTTCATATACGATCATTAAATATAAAACCGGCAATACAAACAAAAAACAAAAATATTCTAAATCACTCAAATAAATAAAACCAAAAGTATACACTGTAATTTAATCTGTCTTATCTCTTATATATTGTCTAAGTTTTCTTTTAAAAGTATTGATTTGATGACAGCCTTTGATATCAGTCGGTAACTGGTTAAATTCAATTAATCCCCTAATAAATAATGATTTTTCTGCTTGTACAGACCGGACCCTGGGGATATCAAAATTATCCCTTGATCTCAAATTTCTTTCATGCCTCTGAGAAATGTAGTTTATTTTACTCATTAAATATGATGGCAGCAGTCCCCCTCTAATTTTAAAAATAAACACCATTGTGTTGTACAAAATAAGTTCCTTTATTGAGAACCATTCCAATGCGTTTTTCATTTCACGAATAGGTGTTCTTCTTGGACAAAATAGTATCATCCTCATTGCCTTATTTTGTAGCTTTTGCAATCTTTCAATTTCATTTCTCTGGAACAAGTACAAAACTGTGGAACAATAGGTATAATGTGGTAACACTAATGAATTGAAGAGTAAAATCTTTGACCACCGTGTCAAAGAAAAGGCACATCTATACAAGAACGAGAGTTTGAAAGAAATAGTCTTTATAATATAATCAGCATGACAGTTGAATTTTAGGTTTTTATCAATTAAGACCCCCAGATATTTATACTTTTCCCCAATTTCTAGCTTATTGTTGTCAATTTTTATTTCAATGCCCTTGCTTACAAAGTCCCTATAATACCTGTCTGGTCCCAGTATCATACATTTTGTTTTCAGAATATTGATTTTCAATGAGTTTGCACAACACCACCTATGTATTCTGTCCAGATTTCCATTAATGACATTTCCCATGTTTTCGACATCTGAAGATGGAAAATAACATACTACATCATCAGCAAATAAATGGATCTCAATTCCCTCAACAAGTTCAGCAATGTCATTAATGTAAACCAGAAACATCAATGGTGCTAAAACGCTTCCTTGTTGAATACCCATTTCGGTCTCTATCAATTCCGATTCAACTTGATTAACCCTGACTTTCCGTCTTCTCCCAGTTAGATTGCTTTGAAGCAATGCCAGTGCCCCATCCTCAATGCCTACCCTTCCAGAAAAACAGCACACACCGCCTGATTCCTGTCATTATAGCGCTTCCAATCGTCCAATACACATTGTATAGCGGCCTCGCAGTTATGTTTTGCTCTAAACCCTGACTGATATTGAGCTAATATACTATTTTCCTCTAAATGATCTACAAGTTGCTCATACAAGACTTTCTCAAAAACTTTTGTTACAGAGCTGAGCATGTTAACAGGTCTAAATTCTGCTGCCATCTGTGCATTGGACGTTTTTGGAATAGGAACAATTGTTGAGATTTTTAGTTTTGTTGGTACTTTGCATTCTAATATACATGAATTAATTATGTGCAGTAGTGGCTCCTTTAAATTCTCAAAACAGTTCTTTAACAAACATATACTTAGCCCATCTGGGCTATCTTTATTGGCCATTTCAAAGATATATTTTTTAAGTTGATTATAGTCTATCAATTTAAACTCTTTTAGTGGCGATATATTTCCCCGGTATTTATCTCTGACCCTATCCAATGATATAGACTTATCTATGTTATCAGAGATCGCCCCTATACTCTGCACAAAAAAAATGTTTAAGGAGTTAGGAATTTCTAGTGGGTCACTTATTAATTTATTATCAACTTCTATTTGGTTTATGATTTTGTTGTCTTGCTTTTTTGGGACTATATTATGTATTATTTTCCATAGCTCTTTGGAATCATTTCTATTTTCACTAATTTGATTGTTATAGTAATTATATTTTTCCCGTTTTATAACTTTGACAGCATAATTGCGTTTTTCTTTGTAGTTTTCAAAGTTTTGTTCCGTTTTATTTGCACAATACTGACGATTTGCTATGTCCCTTTTTTCTGTAGCATTTTTAACATTTTCGCCCCACCACTTCTTGTATTTAGCAAAAATTTTAACTCTCTTTAAAGGTGCCACTTCATTTAAGATTTTGTAAACTTCATTATACATAATATTATATTTTTCATCCAAATCTAGTTTGCAAACTAGCTGCTATTTTAGTGAAAATTGTATTTTCTATCAAAATAGCCAGTGGGTTGGTTAGTTTGTAAACTATCCAGCTAGTTTACAAACTAGCCAAGTTTGCATATTAACCGTAACAGATACATTTTTATCTTTTCAGGATTAAATTAATTATAGTTGCCGCCACCGATATTTGAGATTTCTACAACAAATAATTTCTTTGTCGGCAATGCCCCGATTAAAAAAAATCGCAGCAAAAATTCTACAGACAAGGGTTAAGAATAAATTTAGTCCAAGAGCTATGTTCTGAATTCGATTAAAGTACTAATTTCTTGCATTAAATCTTTGAAAGATCTTTTGAGAAAATTGAAAAACATTATTTAATTTACCACAATTTGAACCGAATAATATCAAATCAATATAATTTTGTACTCAAGCGTCTCCTGATAAGTGCTCCCTGACTAAATGCAGGACGGCTGATAATATAAGCATAATTTTTTGTAGGAATCTCGATTATCTGTGGCGAGGACTATACCTTGAATCATCCCAGGTTAAATCAGTTTCGATGATTGAAAAAATCTTAAATTCATTTAAATCTTCTTAAATCTTTTTAAATCATCCAATAAATCTTTAAATGACCTTAAATTACCTTAAATCAGTTAAGGTTTGAATGAAAACCTCTCAAATCCGATCAAATCTGTTAAATCAGTTAAAATCAAAGATGATTTTAAATCGGTGTACACATTTTGAGGAAGTTGACTGCCCCCCGGTTTCCCAGATTTCCTGGACAGTGACGCACCCAGGGAGGAACCATCGGGCCAGTAGGGTCCCCTCCCAGGCCGCCCTTCCAAAACCGTATTCTTAGGTATAAAAAAATAAGACAAAGTTTGGGCGTAGCACCCTGACAGCTCAATTTTTTTTTAGATTTTCAGTCCCAAGCCAGAACCTATGTAGGCCCCCCCCCCCAAACATATTTTACTGGAATCATTTTCCTTGACATTTAGTCCAGGAGGTGGCGCCAAAAACATGCAAGAGTTTTCGCAAGGCGGATATTTTCAAAATAGGTCATACTTTAGTGTTAGAATGCTAGTGTACAGTCAGCACTCACAGTTCCGGGACAGCTGGCTCTGGGACGCGGGCAAAGTTGTAATTTTAAGAAGCATCTAAACTGTTTTCTCAAAGCTCAAAACTTATAGAAATTTTGCACATTATCTGTTTGAAGGTCACAGATAACGTATGTAAATCATCAGACGTCTAGTTCGTTGCAAAAAGGGGGTCAGACGTCCTCAAAGTTTTTATTTTATGGCATTTTCTTCAAATATATTTGTCAAATACCTGCAAAAATATATTTTGACAGGACACCGAAGAAAATGCCATAAAATAAAAACTTTGAGGCCGTCTGACCCCCTTTTTGCAACGAACTAGACGTCTGACGATTTACATACGTTATCTGTGACCTTCAAACAGATAATGTGCAAAATTTCTATAAATTTTGAGCTTTGAGAAAACAGTTTAGATGCTTCTTAAAATTACAACTTTGCCCGCGTCCCAGAGCCAGCTGTCCCGGAACTGTGAGTGCTGACTGTACACTAGCATTCTAACACTAAAGTACGACCTATTTTGAAAATATCCGCCTTGCGAAAACTCTTGCATGTTTTTGACGCCAGCTCCCCGACTAATTTCACAACCCGCGCCCCTTCATGCCTCTAGCATGAATCACTGCCAGTAATTTTGATCACAGACTCACGATTCCTTAAGTTAATTGGTTGTCTGGTAATGGAAAACAGATGACGTCATCTAGAATGCATAATGGAGAATTGTATTATGTACACTCTAGATGACGTTATAAAAGTTATCCAGGCCACCGTTCTTTTCCGAACAACCTTATCACAGACTATAGAATCCATAGTCTATAACATTAAGTTCAGTGTCTCAATAACGAGTCACCTTCTCTGGGTTGGTTTTAACCAATGACATCTTTTCTAACTCCAGGGTAAACGTGTCCAATTGCAATATTTACCATGAAGTCATGCTTAAGCAATTTGAGGTGATTTTATAGATGTTTCAATGTTTCTGAGTGCATTTTTTCATCTCATCTAACGGGTCAATTCTGTGCATATCTGTAAGCAAATCTATAAATTTCTATAAGCCTATAGACACTGCAAAACGTATCTATTGCCAAACACCCGAGCGCAAATATTTACGATCCTATAAGATATTCTAGATATTCTCTGATCTACAGGAAGTGCAGAATTACAAATTGTCTATAGGCAGCTATAGGCTTATAGAAATTTATAGATTTGCTTACAGATATGCACATAATTGACCCATAAATTTCAGCTCATTTGGAGTGATTTATCAGTTTTTCAATTTTTCTGAGTGCATTTTTTCATAGAATCTGACTTCAAATCTCAATAATTTAGTGTATGAAGGTTGGGGGATCCCAAAAGACCATTCAAACACAAAATCTCTACAAAAAAAGTTGAAATTTCATCATTTTAGTACTGAGGTAGCTACCTTATGATTTGGATTTTTAAAAACTTTGAAAGGTCATAACTCTTTTTTTATTATAGAAAGAAAGCTGACATTTTCAGCGATTCTTATCCCAGTGAGGAACTACAATTCCTGAAAATTTCAGCTCATTTGGACTTAAGAGTTTCAAAAATAAAATTGCGTTAACTCGGGGGTGACTTGCTATTGAAAAACCGGTTTTAAGGGCTAGTTTATTCATATTCTGACAAACTGTCAGGTATGCAATGTGCCAGATTAATACGCAATCTTGTAATCCCATATTCGCCGACCAATAGAATTATTATGAAAATTCTGAACTTATCTTGTAGATAGTAGTTATCAGTCACAAACAGACAAAACCCTAATTCCTTTAATTTGTATGTTTACCAGTATATCCAAACTATTCCATAACTAAACACAAACTATTTCCTTTTCCAGCCAAATAGTGCGACTTCCGATCCAAAAAAATCATGATCGTAGCACTAAACCCCAACACCAAAGTAATCGAAACGGATCCGAATGGCAACGGCAAAAAAGAAAAAGACGTCAAAAGAACCAACTACTTACTCAGACAACTAGTAATGCGTGGCAGACAAGATTCCGACGGAGGTTGCGTGGACTCGCCAGACTTGGAATTTATCTACGACGATTCCGACTCACACGGTAACGAAATAGCCGAACTCTACAGCTACACTGAGCTGCCGGAGTTGCAGCTCAACGTCAAAGCTTTTGAAGATCAAATGGAAAGTTTTGGGCTTCCGCCCAGCTGGCAACGTTTGTCCGCCACCAAGCAAAAATGCGTCGTTATGAAACTGCTGGATGCTTTGGAATGTAGCAATAAATCCATCAGAATGAGAAGTGCTAGGTGTATTTTGTATATTGCACAAGGTTGCTGGGCTGAAGTTCAATCTGATGCGGAACAACAACAATGGGCCCGAACTAATGCTTTGATGTTGTTGCAAGTTGGCGCATTTAGTGCTTTTACTGATTTGCTGAACTTGGAAATTGATAATAGCACCGCAGCACATGTGGCTATGAGAAAAATTGCAGTTTCATTAGCTGATTCACAAGACTTGAGAGTAATTTTATCAGTTTTATATATTATTTCAGAAGTTATAAGAGCTGAAAAAAACTTAGAAGATAGTGAGTATAAAGAGGACATAGAGGCATTTGTGTGCGAATTAACTTATGCTGAGGGTGATGATCATTTAATTATCAAGCTACTATCTATGGTTACAAAGTTTTGTAGTGGAGCGGCACCTCACTTTCCCATGAAAAAAGTATTATTATTATTATGGAAACTGACTCTGGTATCTTTGGGTGGTATGGAAACTTTAAAGGAGCTCAAAGCAGAAAAGCGTCAAGAAGCTAATTTACCCTCCTTAGACGAAGATACAATGGAAATTGCAAAAACTATGAGGTCATCTTCGCCACCTGCCAGTGCTTCAGATTTGCTTGAAGCACAAAATGAAAAAAGAAACACTAGACCTTTTAGAAGAAGTTTAATGAAACAAAGCAGCTTAGACGATCAAGAATCTCTTAGAATGGAAATGGATACTTCTATGACAATGGATAATGAAAATGGAGAAGAATTGTCTGACGGAAGTGAATATGATGAAAGACAACTTCAAGATAACAACACTGATTATAATAATCAAGCTTTAAATATGTACAACACCCAAATGTCTCCTTCTATACAGCACGACATATTACCCAGAGGCTTACCATGGAAATCTAAAGTCAGACAAAGAGATATTGATGCATTTTTGGATGCCTCCAGGCAAAAATTTTTGGGTTATTGTTTGCCAGGCGACCACAACACACTTTTTGGCTTACCAGAACCCATCCACGAAGGAGTAAGGATTTTAAACGAACACATCTACACTTCATTAGCTGAGTTGCAAATACAAAAAGAAGAAGAGATCGCCAGAAATCCTATTTCAATTGCCGAAGAAAATATTAAAATGACCCCTACAGAAATACTCTATCAGGCCATGCTGCCTAATTTACCTCAATATATGATTGCACTTTTGAAAATCCTGCTAGCAGCTGCCCCTACTTCAAAAGCCAAAACTGATTCTATAAACATTATGGCCGAAGTACTACCAGAAGAAATGCCAATGACAGTTTTACAAAGCATGAAACTAGGCATAGATGTAAACAGACACAAAGAAATAATAGTCAAAGCAGTTTCCGCAATCCTCTTATTGCTTTTGAAGCATTTCAAACTAAATCACATTTATCAATTTGAATTTATGTCTCAGCATTTGGTTTTTGCCAATTGCATTCCGTTGGTATTGAAATTTTTCAATCAAAATATAATGGCTTATGTTGGAGCTAAAAATGTTATTCCCATATTAGATTTTCCTTCGTGCGTTATCGGCGACCAACCAGAACTGACTGCAGAAAGTCTGGAAATTGGTGACGCTGCACAATTTTCATGGCGAAATATGTTTTCTTGTATTAATTTGCTTCGGATTTTAAATAAGCTTACTAAGTGGAAACATTCGAGGATAATGATGTTGGTCGTGTTTAAATCGGCCCCTATTTTGAAGCGGACATTAAAAGTAAGGCATGCAATGACTCAGTTGTATGTATTGAAGCTTTTAAAAATGCAAACCAAATATTTGGGAAGGCAGTGGCGTAAGTCCAACATGAAAACCATTAGTGCAATTTACCAAAAAGTACGTCATCGTTTAAATGATGATTGGGCTTACGGTAACGATTTAGATGCGAGGCCTTGGGATTTTCAAGCCGAAGAATGCACTCTGAGAGCTTGCGTGGATCGATTCAATAACCGCAGATACGGACAAGTGATTGATAGCGAATTCGAACCGGTGGATAATAATTTTAGTAGCGTCTTGGGTAAACCGTTTGAGTTGTCTGAAAATTTCAAGAAACATTACGGTTTGTGGTTGGAGCAAGAAGTTCACGGCACTCCGATTGAGTGGGAAAAGTTGTTGTCGGGTAACGAGGTCAAAAAGGAGAAAGAAGCTATTGAATTAAATGCTGAAGTAGCTCCAGTAACTGTTCCAATAACTGCCGCAGCACCAATAGATGCTTCACCTTCAGTAACTGTTCCAGCAGTATCAGTAGCTGCTTCAGCATCTTGAATATTTTTAATAGGCAATAAGGCATATCTAATAATTAGTGTGGATGAAATTTTAATTTCATAAATGATTTAGATAATATTATAATATTCATGTATGTAATAAATTATTATTTCCATTGACAGTATATTTTTGTTTTGGGTTTTACATAATAGTTATTTACATTACAAGTGCGTTTATGAGCATGATTGCAATAACGAGTGTGAAGGATTAATCACACGAGTTTTGTAGTCATGTTTAAACGCACGTGTGATGTACAACGTTTTATCTACAAAGCGAAAAATAGGAATATTTTTTCCAATTATTTTCGTTCATTAATAGTTGTCTACCTTCATTTTACCTCTACAGGTTTACCTTTGACATTTGTCAAATCACCAAAAATAGTTGTGTTATAGACTCATAACCTCGTCCATAACACCACTAGTTGTGTTATGAATTCATAACCTAGTCTATAACACCACTAGTTGTGTTATGAATCTCATGACGTAACTCAAATACTAGAAAAATGGTTATGGAAAAACGTCATAACCAAACGCTTGTAGATAAATACATGTAGGATATTGAGACTTTAGTATTTAAGCGGATATTAAGGAAAATATACATTAAAAAAAACATGACTATTGCCAATTTTGAATATGAATTTTCTGAAGGTGACTACTGGGCGTGAACAAGAAACCTATCAAGTACAAATACCTACTATGACGAATAGACGATTTGTTGGATAAACTAAAGGGTTGTCGGTACTTCACTAGCTTATATTTGGCTTCAGACTATCACCAAATCGCTATAGATGAAGACTCTATACCGAAAACCGCTTTCGTGACACCTGACGGCCATTATGAGTACCTGCGTGCATGCCGTTTGGGTTAGTAAACGCTCCAGCTGTCTTCCAACGCACCATGAATGAGGTACTTGGAACTTTCCGTTTTCGAACGGCATTAGCATACCTGGATGGATATCCCAATACCAGCTTCAAACGCAGAAGACTGAGCGGATGCCTAAAAAGATTAGACAGATGCGAGTAAAATAGGCATAGGAGGCATTCTCCTATAAACCTAGCCTAATGGAGAATTAAACCCTGTATAATACTTTAGCCGATCAATGACCAATGAGGAGAAGAACTACCATTTGTACGAGCTAGAGACGCTAGCCGTAGTGAATTTGTTAGAAAATTTCAGAACCTATCTTATTGGTATCAAGTTTAAAATAGTAACAGACATAGGCGCCGGAATTTCAAAATTACTACGGTGCTTGGGCTCCAAAAATTAACATAGGTAAAATTGATTAGAAAGACAGGACTAGGCTACTAGACACATATACTTAAATGGGACTAGTTGACAGATAACCATTTCGTTGCAGGATCCGCCACGCTGGATCATTGATTGTCCCTGCCTGCATATTATTAAAATTTGTGCATTTTTGGCAGCTATACTCGGCATCGGCAGCACTATTGGCGTAGCCAGGATTTTGCCATGGGGGGGTGGGGAAATTTGCAGGAAGTAATCCTTGCAGCTCGATCGCAAGCGCAGCGGGAAGAAAAACGCCGCAGGCGCGAAATTTTTGGGTCTTTCCACAGTATTTTTGAGACTTCTAATCCTTGCCCCCACAAGCGGGAATGCGACCATTTTTACAAATTTTGATAAGAATTTATAGTAGAACGTTACTTATATTATAATGTATGTAACTATGATTATCTATCTAGGACTTAAATTGATTTTTTTGTTTATTTCAATTTTGATTTTAATTTGAATTATAAATGCCACTTTGTCCCCCTACATAGGCTAATTCATCTCATTAATCCTTATGTGTCTAGTAGGTTTGTCCGGTCTGTGTATAAATTGTCCATGATAAACTAGGTGAAAAAAGCAAGTGTATTGGTATTGTCTGTCGTTGTTAATCTGACACTTTCCGTAGGACGAGCAAGGGGGTGAAGCTTATGGCAAAAACAGGTGTGACGTCATGTATGCGTCGATCCATTAGTGTTCTAATGTGGGGAGCCACCAGCTCACATTCCTATTTGAAGTATCAGATTAAAATTGACCGACTGTACATCATGATATATTCATGTGGTGTAAACATACCTATCATGAAAACAAACAGAAAGGAAATATAATAATCCAACGACTTATTGAAAATGCAAATTTAAATAGTACACAAAAAAATATTCAAACTGTTTGTTAGAGTAAAGGTTGGCAATTGTGAAAAGTGCGTTTTGGTCTGAAGTGAAGGGGGAGGAAAAAACGATATGGAAATACACAGTTGCAATGGAATAGAAGGAAATAGAAATATTAGATCGCATATTTGCAGCGGGCAAATTTTTGCTGTTCATACTTTAGATATAGCAAAAACAACAAAAATATAAAACACACAAGTTTGACATAAAAATGAATAGTTAGGTGCAGGAACTCAATATTTTTGTATTTACCTACCTACTATATACAATACCAAAATCACTATGGGGGCTCCGCTCCCATAGCAAATTCATTACGGGGGCTCAAGCCCTCATGGTTCCTGCGCCTATGGTAACAGACTGCAATGCTTGGCGTGCCACACTCACCAAATGAGACATAATTCCAACAATTGGAAGATAGTAATTGTCAACCCAAGAATTTGATCTCACCATTGAGTATCATGCCGGATTTAAAATGGGCCGCGTAGACGCATTGAGCAAGAATCCGATATTAAATATTGAAGATCCAGAGTGTGCAGAAGTACCTATGCTACACGTTGCAGTTGATGAGAATGATTGGGTCCTGTCTGCACAACTCAGTGATAAACGTTGCCAGGAGTTACATAAGAGCCTAACAGAAGTACCGATTACTGCAGAGAATAAAATAGTCCATAAGGAGTACCTGTTAAAAGACTCAGACGTTCGAGTATAGATAAATTACATCCTTTAACTGTACTTTAGGAAACCCGACGTGCCGATCTGAGTATAGACAGATTTTATGGAGCTGCGTCAAAGAAAAAAGGGACTCCAGGTACCTAAGTAGGGTACCAATATAAATTTTCGGGTTTAGTTTGCGATATACGTTCTTTGAAGTAACGCTTATTGTGTTATTATTTTTCTGCGTCCGTTTACAAAATGGACTGTTGGCATTGTTGGCAATGGGGCAGAAAATAACTGAAAATATTAAACTTAACAATTTATGGATATATGAATATGGTTTTATTTATATACAACATAGTAACAACTAAAAAAGGGACAAACCCAAAAAGGAAGAAAAAAGCATTACACTAATTCATTAATAACTAAAACAGTAAATGTAATTTTTTAAAAATTGTACTGAAAATCAATAACATTCAATATTAAAAAATTTCAATTAAAGGAGAACGATATAAATTTATGAAAAGCTAAACTTTGGTAACTAAATTGCCTAGTTGGTAAAAACTACTAATATTGGAAAATAGGTATTTGGCATCTAAAATCAAATTACACAAAATCAAACTTAATATAGGTACTTACATATTTTTTTTGGCAACATGGCAAGATTGGTGCAAAATGACACAAGATCAAACTTAATATATATTTTTTTGGTAAGTAACGTAACATGGCAAGATTGGTGCAATCTTTGGGCGTAAATAAGATCACAGTCCAAAGTACCTACATTCAGATCCTAATATACTAAAATTTGTTTTCTTTTTCTAAAATTCTTCTCATGAATCTAGCAACTATCAAATTTGAATGCATAGTAAAAAAAAATCGCATATAAAACATTTGAGAATTAATAATAGACAATAGAATACACTGTTTCTACATGCAATATTTACTCTAAACTGACCCTTGTTCCCAATAATTCTACTTGACTTAACAAATTTCTATTAAGTCATTTAAAGAAGTGAAGTTTTCTAAGATCAATTTACGATGTTAATTCTTCCAACAATTCCTCAACCGATCTTTGCTCAATTTTATATTTCTTCATAAACTCATCAGGCACAGTCCAATCTAGCAATATTCTAATATTATTCTTCAACCTAGCAGCTATGCTAAGACTTTCATCAACACATGGTAACCGTTTCGAATGAATTATCGAAGACTCTAAAACCTCATCAATAAGCTTTTTGTTAAAACCCAATTCGGACAAACGTTCTCTAGTTGAAATCCTTTTCAACAAAATCGCTAATAAGAATCTCATTTTGGGCAAAGTCATCGGTTGAATTTCGTCTTTGATTTCCTGATTCAAAGGTTTTTTTTTGCAAGGCAACTCTTCGTGTTCTTGAAGCTCTCTTTTGGACTTAAAATACTCTTTACACCATTCGCAATTAAAAACTTTATCCATGTTGTGCTTGCGCAACATGTGCTTTTTTAAGTGTGGAATTTGATTGAACCCACGCTTGCACTCCATGCAAGTATAAGGTTTCTCGCCGGTGTGTTGTCGTTTGTGAAGATTTAATGCCGTTGAATGTGCAAAAGCTTTCCAACAAACCCTACATCGATAAGGTCGTTCTCCCGAATGAATTCTTTGGTGCACAACCAATTGAGATCTTTGCGCGAAGGATTTTTCACAGTGAGCGCAAGCGTGCGGTTTAGTTCTCGTATGCGTTCTTAAATGCTGAGGAAGGTGTCCTTTGAAGTACTTGTGGCAAATTGGGCAGCAAAACGCTTTAATGTTTTCGTGCGTGTTTCTTAAATGTTTCAACAAAGCGTCACGTCTAGTGAAACATTTACCACACAAATCGCAAGTGTACGGTTTCACATCGAAATGCTTGTTTCTGTGTAATCTTAAGTTTTGCGAGCACGTGTAGGACATTTTGCATACGTCACAGGTGAAAGGTTTTTTTTGGTCGTGAACACGCATGTGTTGCTGTAGTTGGCCTTTTCTAGCAAAGGTCTTTGAGCAATGTTCGCAGGAATAAGGCTTTTCTCCTGTGTGGGTGCGCATGTGCAGTTTTAAGCGTCCTTTTAGGGCAAAACTACGACTGCAAATATCGCAATGAAAAAAGCCATTCAGTTTACAGTGTTTCGATAGTATGTGGTTTTTTAGAGTAACTGCTTGGCGGAAAGCCTGCTGACATTCGTTGCAGATATATGGCCTTTCGTCGGTGTGAACTCTGACGTGTTTACGTAAATCGTTTGAGCTTAAGAAGTTTTTTATGCATATGGTACATTCATATTTACGCTCTTTAATTGTTGTTTTGAGATTGTTTGTAGTTTTCTTCATTTTCTTGCTAAGAGAAAAGTGTTGCGCGATTCTAACTACTCTAGTTGAAAATGTGCTACATTATCGAAGACCAACCACCAAAAATTTTAATATTAGGATGCAGGTGAAAATAATAAGGAAGTGTTAGAAAAGTTCTTCTTTTGAGGTGCAAAAACCATGTCCCGCATGATGCCTTTGATAACCGTCACCCATTTACCTGCAAAAGTCAGTTAAATTCCTTAACCATTTAGGTATTAGGTAGGTACTGTTAGTTAAATATTTGTTAAAAATTCGAAAAAAACAGCCCTGAGCCAATATTTATTCACCTTTTGATAAACTATCGGATAATACAATCTGACAGATAAGAACGGAAATTATAATCTTATTGGTCAGCCAGTTGTTATAATGCTAAATTTTTGTCTTGTAGACAATTTCCAGACAGCACACAAAGTCAAGACGTCTTTTTTAGGGCTGTATTACGTCTGAACTGAAGACTAAAAAAGATGTTTATAGTAGACGTTGTTGAAGACGTCCATAAGATGTCGCAATAGAATCCAACTGAATCACTATTTGGTACTAGTCTTTAGGTAGACGTCAGAAAGAAGTTGGGTTTTATAACAAAGGATGTCTTTAACATACTATTAGACACGTAAACAAAGGTCTATAAGATGTCTTGAATATCGTTTGTGGATATCTTAGGATGTCTGGGTTACTAGTAAATTTATCAGAAGGTGAATAAATCAGGTCTAATTATGGTGAGTGTGGGTATTACAATAATAGGGTATTATAAAACTATTTTGACAGATAACTAAAAGTGAACTTCTAGAATTATTAGAGAAGTAACATCATTCCAGAAGTTAAGTTTTAGTTATTCTGTCAAAATAGTTTTATAATACCTACCTTTAGTCATATTATAGGATAAGTTCATCAAATTGAAACTTTGATAAGTGATACCAACCAAAACCATACCAGAACCAAATAATTATTGTTAAAGATTTTTAGTATTCATAAATTATTTCAGCTGCTACCTATATTTTACAAAACATTTCAGGCCAGGTTAATTAATTTTCAGATAAACTGATAACTGTATATAAGGGCCGGTTTCTCAATAGCGAGTCACCCTTGGGTTAGTTAACTCTAGGGTTAACGTGGTAAATTGCAATGTTTACCCTGGAGTTAGCTTAACCTGGAGGTGACCTGCTATTGAGAAATCGGCCCTAATACAAATTTACCTATCTATGGTTCATTTATTTCCAAGATAGATTTTGACATTGAAAACTTTGAAACATAAACAATACCGCTTGGCTCTGATTGGTCGCAATATGAGGTGTCCCTGCAGGTTGACAATTCATGTCGTGCAAATGGCATTTTGCGACCAATAGGCGGCATTAGCGGCATTGTTCATGTTTCAAAGGTGACAATGTCAGAATCTATCTTGGGAAAAAATAAACTGTATAATCCTATTCGTTGGCAGATAACTGGCGGACCCATACGATTACAGATTGCGTTTTTATCTGTCAGATTGCATTACTTGACAATTTATCAGAAGATGCAAAGACCAGGCCTAAGAATTTTGAGGTTGTCTTGTTTAAAGTGAACAGATCTTTTCTAATTTTGTTGCTTCCTGTTTCCATATTTGAAAGGAAAATTGAACAACTGTTATAATTATTGTTAAAATTTAATGTAATTAAGTTAAATTCCATTTATTTATCTCTAACCAATGAACAGGTTATACTTATTTTATCGAGGAAATTCTATCGATAAATATAATTATTTTCAATTACGATTTTATACATTACCTTTTAATCAATTAATTGTGAATTCTTTTTGTTTCTAGTCAAGGCGGGGCCCCACACAATTTTAATTTTGAATTTCTAATAACTAAAATAACATTTTATTATTTATTTTCAAAAAATTGCATTTCCTGCCTGCGATTTCGGAAATGTGACGGATCTCTTGACACGTGACATTTAATTTATCTTGTTCCAGAACTATTCGTTCGGAGTCATTTGTGACTGGTGCACACGAAAATAATCCAAATTCGAGCACGACAACCAAAACCAGTGTGCACTGCACTCTGCACTGAGAGTAAAAACCGATGAATCACAAATTTTGACTATTGGAACACGTTCTGGGTTGGGCCTGCTTACTCCGTGCACTCTTCAGCGTGCGCTCCATTTTACTCAACTCCGTTGGGAAAACGTGAATGTATTTACTCTGTTTACGCTAAAAAAACCATACCCGAACGTTCGGAGGGCACGAAGTTGAACTGAGAAAGAGTAGAGAGAAGAGAGTGGAGTGACCATAAAAAAAGAGTAGTCGGCTTCCTTCATATAGCTGGGTTCGGCTATTCAGCGCGGAGTTGGAGTGGTGAACAGAGCTAATGGAGTCACCCCTAATACGGTAAAAAGAAAAAGCAATACCCGAACCTTAACCCGAACGGCTGGAGTGCGAATGGAGTCACTCGGAGTGCACGGAGTGAGCAAGCCGAACCCACCTTATAATCCAATCTGTTTTCGTGAATCGTGGTTAGTTTTTCTTTTTATAGTGACGTGTCGTGCCGCATAAAAGAAAATATAATGAAAAATCCAATAATTTTAATATTTGCCTTTATTGTTGCTGCAAAAGCACAGGGAAATACGCTCGTACTACTAGACAATCAAGTAATTAAAGAAACTCATTCAATTTTCTTCAAATCCTTGCAAGGTAAGCCAAGAGATATGAAAACTACATCATACAAACAACCATGCATGAGGTTATCAATATTTAATTAATCCACTTAATTTTTTCTCATAGATAGAGGCTACACCCTAACATTCAAAATCGCAGATGACTCTTCCCTAGTTCTCTCAAAATACGGCGAATATTTATACGAAAACCTCATCATCTTTGCACCATCTGTAATCGAATTCGGTGGCAATTTAAATGTAGACACCATCACCCAATTTATCGATAACGGTGGCAACGTTTTGGTTGCTGGAAGCGAAAGTACCGGAGACATACTCAGAGAGTTGGCATCTGAAGTTGGCTTTGAAGTAGATGAGGAAGGTGCTTTTGTCATTGACCACTTAAATTATGATTCATCTGACGAAGGACAACACACAAAATTGGTTGTTTCTTCTGAAAATCTCATAGATGCTCCTGTTATAGTTGGAATTAAAAAAAATATTGCACCAATTCTGTATCAAGGAACTGGAATTTTGGCTGATTCTGAAAACCCTCTTGTTTTGCCATTGTTAACTGCAGACAGTACTGCTTATAGCTACCAACCAGATCAAGCCATTAAAGAGTATCCTCATGCCATAGGCAAAGACACTGTCCTTATTGCTGGATTACAAGCAAGAAACAATGCCAGAATTGTATTCAGTGGATCTCTGTCCTTCTTTTCTGATGAATATTTCACTAGTCCAGTAGAAAAAGTTTCAGGCGATTTAAAATCAGCAAAATCTGGCAATGAAGATGTTGCAGTTGCTATCAGCCAATGGGTATTCAAAGAACATGGTAGACTGAGAGTTAAAGCTGTACAACACCATAAAGCTGGCGAAAATGCACCTCCACATGACTACACCATAATGGACGATGTTGTGTACAAAATTGGAATTGAAATCTACGATAATGGCAAGTGGAAGCCTTTTTCAGCCAATGATGTTCAGTTGGAGTTTGTGAGAATCGATCCATTTGTTCGTACCACATTAAAAAGCAACGCCAATGGAGTTTATGAGGCTAAATTCAAAATACCAGACGTTTATGGTGTTTATCAGTTCAAGGTGGATTATGATAGAGTTGGATTTACTAGACTTTATAGTACTACACAGGTAATAATAATGATTTTTAATTATTGCATTTTTTTAATATTTTTTTTTTTAGGTATCAGTGAGGCCGCTACAACATACCCAATATGAAAGGTTCATTGACAGTGCTTATCCTTATTACACAAGTGCTTTCTCAATGATGTTGGGATTGTTTGTGTTTTCCATTGTGTTTTTGCACATGAAGGATGATGAGAAAAAGTCAAAGAATGAATAAATAAGACTGTGTTTTTTTCATAATATGTAGATTGTTCATTAATAAGATAATTTGAAATGTTAATAAAATTGTTTCAAAGTTTTCTTGTACAGGGTCTTTTCCAATGAAGTAGTAAGAAGGTTGGAATTGCCCTTTGCCTGTCTACTCAATACATATATTTGTGGCCAATATAAGAGTGAGAAAACAGGAGAGATCCATGAGATTTTCTTGCCCTTACTAGCGCTATCTCACTCAGGATTAGAATGAGAGATATAGGAGATTCAATAGATTTTTTCCCCTTACTAGCGCTATCTCATTCTGGAATCAATTGAATGACGCAAAAATCATTCCAAACCTTTCTACTTCATTGGTCTCTTCCCATATATTGACCCCCCCTCCACTACAGGTGTTATATGAAGAGATGTCAAAAAATTGCAAATACAAAAGTTCTATGGTTTATTTTTTTCCAAGATAAATTTTGGCATTGTCAACTTTGAAACATAAACAATGCCGCTTATTGGTCGCTAAATGTAAAACTGATGTCAACCTGCAGAAACACCTCATTTTGGGACCAATCAGGGTCAAGCGTTATTGTTTATGTTTCAAAGTTTTCAATGTCAAAATCTATCTTGGCAAAAAGATAAAGTGTAGGGTTTTCTCTGAAATTTTTGAATCCGATGTCAAAAAATCTTATTGTTTTTTAGAAATGTCAAATTTTAACAGATGGTCAGTTTTTTCTTATGGAACACCCCATATATGACGTCATAGTTGAAAAGACTCCAATTTTCTGAATTTAAATATGTATATACCTATGGTTTAACTACTTTTTTTTTTAATAAGCCTTATATTTAGATTTTGGGAAACTTTGAAAGGTCATAACTTTTTTCTATTAAAGATAGAAAGCTAAAATTTTCAGTGATTCTTATTCCAGTAGAGGACTATAATCCCTTCAGCTTATTTGGACGTAGTTTCAGAAATGAAATCGTGTTAAGAGATATATAGTGTCAAGCAATTTGGGGGATTTATCAATTTTTCAATTTTTCTGAGTGCCTTTTTTCATAGAATCTGGATCCAAATCTCAGAATAATTTAGTACATGGAGTTTGGGGGATCGCAAAGGACCATTAGGACACAAAATCTCAACAATAAAAAAAAAAGACATCGTTTTAGTAAGAAGCACAAGCACCTTGTGATTTAGTTTTGAAAAGCTTTGGAAGGTCATAACTCGTTTTCTATTAAAGATAGAAAGCTGAAATTTTCAGCGATTCTTATCCCAGAGTGGAGGAATACAATCTCTGAAAGTTTCAGTTCATTTGGTTCCAGTAATAAAATCCTGTTAAGCAATTGGGATGATTTTTTTTGTGGAAAAAAGTTTGTGTTTCTCAAAAGTCCTTCCTAAATAGGTATGAAGCTCTCTACCTACCTATTTTCTGACAAATTCAAAATTGAGAATCCTCAACATTTTCCATTTCCAGAAACGATTTTGCTTGGTTTACGTCACAAGCCAGATAACTGTTATTCATAATTGGGAACTTAATGTTTTTCTCTATTCCAGGCGCTTGAATTTTCTTTATTGCAACAAATTTGAGAGCTGAAAATAGACCAAAATTGAGAAACAGAGGAAAGCAATGTAAGAAAAAATGAGAAAAAATTGGTAGACAAAAGGATACATTCATGTTTTTTCCATTCCAGGCTCTTAAATTTTCTTTATTTCGACAAATTCAAACGCCAGGAACCAAAGAGAGAAGAAAAATTGAGAAAAAAAATTTGATGATTACGTATTTACCCGCAAGTTACTATCCTAGGCTCTTGAATTAGGTTTTTTTTTTCGAGAAATTCAGCAGCAAAATTAGGAAATTCAGAGAAAATCAATATACAAGTAGATTTGGAAAAATTTAGAAGAAAACGAAAATTCAAAGAGTCCGGAATAGACAAAGTACCTGCGAGATGGAAAAACTGAAAATTAGCAGGTGAAATGAGAAAAAAAAATGGAAAAACTAAGAAAAATTAAAATTCAAAAGCCGGGAATAAACAAAAATTGAAACAGAAATATTGAAAAAAAAATAATAATAATAATAATAATACATAAGGTAAACGTCCCAATTATCGACATCTTAAGAGGTTTTGGCTAGATCATAGGGAAATAAAAATTTGCATATTGAAGGTATAGCTTTGAAAATTTTACTGTGTATTGGTATATTATTGATTATTGCTGTGGAATGTTTATGTTTCAAATAGCAATACTAATTTATCTGCAACAAATAAATAAGTTGAAAAGTACCATTTGACCCAATTATCGACCTGGAAAAAATTGTTTTGTACCAAATATCGACACACGTGCGTACGTAATATCGACACTGGATTTGAATGGTATTGCCCATAATAAGGTGACAAACAAAATATTTGTTTCTTGACTACTTGGAACCAACGGCGAATTTTGCCTTCAGTCACAGATTACCTACATACAGATGCAAAAGAGCGGCGAATTTATTATACGTACTTACGCATCTGTATTAGGTGATCTGTGTTTCAGTTATGGTGGCTGGTCACTCGAGCATTGGTTAGATTTTCGGAAACTCTTTGTGAAAGTTCTAGATACGGCTTCATGAAAGCTTCATACCAATGGCGACCAGGTCTTCCGTTGGTAAAATTATTTGATTTTTTTAAATTTTTCAGCAGTAATTGTACACTGTCTATAATCTGCAGTTATGTTGCAGGAAACCCACAATAATTTTTCTTCATCGCTTGTTAAAATTGTATCAAGACCAATTTTCCTTTTAATTGGCGCTTTTTCTTGCACTTTTCTCATTATGGTTGTTCTTGGTACTTTGAAAACGTTATTAGCTTTATCTTTTATTTTTGTTCATCTTGAGTATATTTCTTCTGAAAAAAATGAGTCCCATTTATCGACAGACTTTGGTACCAAACACCGACACACATAATACCATCCACTCTAACGTTGTTACCAAAGGGAAAAATGGGTGTCGATAATTGGTACGACGGTAGTTTAATATAATTTCCTTTATATTTTTCAGACAGAATACGATTAAGTTCAATAGATATTTAAATATTCAGAGGAAAAGAGAAGGCTGCGTTGCACCACCTATCGACACCCATGTCGATAAATGGTACAAAGTTTAAAAATGGATGTACCATCAATTATCGACAGCACAGAATTTTGAATTTATACAGATTTTATGCCATATAATTGGCAAAAATCATAAATTCAATACTCTGCATAAATATATACAAAAATTTCCATTAGGTTAGTTAAATATTTCAAACTAAAATAACCATAATCAACTTATCTGTTTCTTAGCACTTTTCACAACGATATGCACTAGACACATGTCACTACAGAATGACAGAATGGAAATATTTTTAAAATCTATATTTTCTGCATTAACGGGTTGAGGATTTTTACGTAAAGTGGGGAAAACCTACTACTTTCTTGTAATGATACGACAATAAATGTAGCAACAATCAGATTCTTATTTTTTGGATCTTAAGTGCAAAAATGTCGATAATTGGGACTTTTACCTTACTTACCTGAATAAATATCAAAAAATTTGCAAGAATATGGCGGCGGGGGTGTGGCTCACTTCTATATTCATATTTAAAATTTGTAAGAATATGGCGGCGTAACTAAACTTCTATTTGAAAGGGTTTAGTCACTGTAGGTGGGGCCATTGGAAACAATTGAAAAGGAAACTACCAATCAAATACCTGACGATACATAAACCCCGGAAAGGGGCGGAGCTTTCTAACCAATTGAATGCCCTGCTGCTGATATCATTTGCATCTGGTTGGAAAGGGGCGGGGCTTATATGCAAGTGTTTTGTTGATATGCTTGCGTTTGATAACGAGTCAGCCACAGGGTTGCCAGCTTCAGGAAATTATACCCTTTTTTGGGAACTTTTTTTGTTTAATTTTCTAGCATACGATATACAATATACAGAGTGATCCATTTAACTAGAGACATTCTGATATCTGGAAAACGTGTTTTTTTTTAGAAAAAAGTTCAAATGAAAGTTATATGGTGTCACGGTGTTCACATTTTCGAAATATTAGAACGTCTCAATAGACCTATGTATTAGGTCTATAAACCTAGCAGTCCCAAGGTGGAAAAAAGATTCGGGAACTATATAATAATTAGGTGCTTTTTAGGTGCTAATTAGGACCTCTAATTAAAAATCAGGTGCTCCTTCAGTTTCTGAGAAAATAAAAAAAATCTAAGGAACTGCTAGGTTTATAAAAGCTAGCAATTCCCTATAGTGAAAAATATTTTTTCAAATTTTTTCTTTGTATCAAAATTAGGTGCTTTTTAGGTGCTCCTAAATAATCGAAGAAAAAATAGAATTGATTAATTGACTGAGTTACAGATTTTTTTTTAATCATTAGGGGACTGCTGGCTTTACGTTTACATGTTGGTGTGTCAGAATGGAAAAAAAACTTCGGGATCTATATAATAATAAGGTGCTTTTTAGGTGCTAATTAGGGCCTCTAGGCTCTAATTAAAAATTAGGTGCTCCTCTTGTTTTTGAAAAAATCAAAAAAAAAACTAAGAGATTGCTAGGTTTATGAACGCTAGTAGTACCCTATAGTAAAAAATATTTTTCCAATCTTTTGTATCAGAATTAGGTGCTTTTTAGGTGCTTCTAAATAGTCGAAGAAAAAATAGAATTGATTAATTATTAACTGAGTTACAGATTTTTTTTTAATTATAAGGGGACTGCTGGTTTCACGTTTACTTGTTGGTGTGTCAGAATGGCAAAAAAACTTCGGGATCTATATAATAATTAGGCGCTTTTTAGGTGCTAATTAGGGCCTCTAATTAAAAATTAGGTGCTCCCTAATAATTAAAAAAAAAATCTGTAATTCAGTTAATAATTAATCAATTCTATTTTTTCTTGGACTATTTAGGAGCACCTAAAAAGCACCTAATTCTGATACAAAGAAAAAATTTGAAAAAATATTTTTTACTATAGGGGACTGCTAGCTTTTATATGGATATATGGTTTTTAACTAATTAGAAATCCATCTAAACCATATAAAATAGTTAACCAGTTCTACAATTAATTCTTAGAGTGGATACATGGTTTTTAACTAATTAGAGGCCCATCTAAACCATATAAAATAGTTTACCAGTTCTACAATTAATTCTTAGAGTGGATACATGGTTTTTAACTAATTAGAAATCCATCTAAACCATATAAAATAGTTAACCAGTTCTACAATTAATTCTTAGAGTGGATACATGGTTTTTAACTAATTAGAGGCCCATCTAAACCATACAAAATAGTTTACCAGTTCTACAATTAATTCTTAAAGTGGATATATGGTTTTTAACTGATTAGAGGCCCATCTAAACCATATAAAATAGCTTACCAGTTCTACAATTAATTCTTAGAGTGAATACATGGTTTTTAACTAGTTAGAAATCCATCTAAACCATATAAAATAGTTAACCAGTTCTACAATTAATTCTTAGAGTGATAAACCTAGCAGTCCCTTAGTTTTTTTTGATTTTTTCAGAAACTGAAGGAGCACCTGATTTTTAATTAGAGGCCCTAATTAGCACCTAAAAAGCACCTAATTATTATATAGTTCCCGAAGTTTTTTTCCACCTTGGGACTGCTAGGTTTATAGACCTCTATGTATTTTTACCTGATATGCGCGCGCAATATGAGGCAATGCCTTTCTATTGGCTAACTAGTACAGGTGAGAGATGTTCCTTTTGCACGCTGGGCATCTCGTTGTCCTTGTTCATTGCCCGTGGTCTGACAAGAATAAAAGTACGATTGATATTCATCTTGACAAGTGACATTCAAAAGTTGTTTGAAATTTTCAATGACAAATACGTTGCACAACACGCAGTTTTTCTCCTTCCTTTTTTATCCCGTACAAATAAAAAGAACGGATTACTATACGAAAGTCTAACATAATTTGGTACGTTTTGCCTCATTTTGCGCAATGAGCGTTCTATGTCATTTTTATCTAATGAAGTTTTCGTATTATTACCTCTTTATCTGGTAAAATAGATAGGTCTATTTAAATTGATCACTCTGTAGATATAGGTACCAAACATCTTATTCCCGACTGTAATTGCAGGCGCAATAATTGTTTTTCTACTACCGTGTGTTAAGTACTTACGTTACGCACTTTTTAGAAGACATAATAGTATATTATATACCTAAGGTAGAGAAGTTAGTCATTATATAGGTACCGAGGCGCGAAGCGCCGAGGTTTATAATGCGTGAGGTATATAGGGTGTACCATTTAAAACGAAACAGGCTAAATATCTGATGCCACGTTTATTTTTGAAAAAATCGCTCGTACATGTAATTTGATTTTCAAAGGGGGAAGTTTTCTGTAACCATTTGTGGCACTTCAACTATAACCCTCTAGGCGGGGAGGGATCAACCCTCACTATTTCAAATGGAACAAGGGGTCGAGTGATACCTTTTTCAAAAGAGCGTTCATTTGATGTCATTTGAAAGAAAATTGAACGCTCTTTTAAAACAGGTATCACTCGTCCCCCTGTTTCATTTGGAATGGTAAGAGTTGGTCCCACACCCCCTAGAGGGTCAAGTTAGTACTTAAAATGTTTCAAACACTCATACAATCAAATTACGTGTACGAGCGATTTTTAAAAAAAATAAAAGTGACATCAGATATCTAGCCTGTTTCGTTTTAAATAGGTCATTGGTATACCCTGTATAATGACTTTCTCTACCGAAGAATATATAGATTTTTTTCTACTACTGTTAGTAGCAGTGGCGGCCCGTGACTTTAATTTTAAGGGAGGCAGCCCAAAAAAAAAAAATGAGCGTCGTAGGTAAATTGTTTTTGAGGGGTTAAAATTATATAAAAATACATTTTGTAGCATTTTTACAGGGGAAGCACTGCCTCCTCTGCCTCCCTTGACGAGCCGCCACTGGTTAGTAGAAAATAAAAAAATTGTTCAAAATCTGTGCTAATTATTTTTTTTTAAACGCCCTCTTGAAAGTGCTGCCCTCTATTAACAGCTTATGATAACTTCCTATGTACCTACAGAAACCTGTATTTTACTGGTACTTGAACTTCCCCAGGGCCTTAAACCATGACATTAGAGAGATATCGGTAACCCAAATAGCATCATGCAGTATTAGCGCCAACGTTATTTTGACATTAGAGAGATATTGCCAATCACAATACCGCATGCATTACGATATTTACGCCGCGCTATTACATAACGTCAAGCTATAAATAAAAGCTGAAAATGAAACTTATTGCCACGTTATTTCTATAATTAGCGCTGCGCTCATGTAGAAGTCAAAATGTCAAATGTTTCGATACAACCTATAACCTGACTTTTTTGTTTATTTTGTTTGTTGATTTTTGATTCAGAAATCAGATTTCAAAAAAAAGTAGTTAATTGAAAAACTGTGATAGAGGTACCTACATACCTTATGATGGAGGAAGATCTTGAGGCGGTGATCTTAGCTGGGGCTAACGAGAATGCTATTGAGTATGTGATTTTGCACCATATACTAGGAGTGGAGCAAAACCAAGGAGAAGTCAAAACCCTAATATTAATATTGAATTTGATTTGGATAATATGCAGGAAGAAGATGTGAAAAATAATTTTCGATTTGAGAGGCAAGATATCTATAGATTGGCAGAAGCTCTAAGAATCCCTCAAGCAATTCATACTTCAACCCGTAATTCTGTTAGAGGTTAGTGTTATTCATTTCAAGATTCCAGGGCTGGAACTCAATATCTCTATCTCTAACCTCTTCGGTCCGTCTTTTGGCTTTATTGGACCCACCGAGGGAACACCAACACCAGTTCCAAGGGACATTTTGTTTAAAATAATACATACAAACCAAACAAGCTGCCACAAAACACAAACTCAGAAGTGAGAACTTGAGTTGGCACCCAAAACCCTAACCCATAACACAAAGAAATAAATAATAAACAAAAATCCTAACCTCTCCAGAGAAAAATCGAAGTAGGAGTTGTCAGTTGTCATGTCAATATTGTGCGGTATTTTGAATAGCGCCCAACGGTACGTAAGCATAAATAGAGAGTTATTGGACGTGCAATAAGGACAAGCAGTATTTAAATTAGCCTTATTTTGACATCTACGCATGCGCATTTGGGTCCGAAAATAAGGATTCCCATAATAAGGTTACTGCTTGTCTTTATTTGTGTATGGTTAGTGCGAGGCAGTAAACTTCCCTTATTTCAAATTTCAGACATTTTTGACGACTTTGACGTTTCGCTTTTCGACGATGACTTAATTTTACTTAGAAAATTTATTTTTTACAATAGTTTTCCATTTCACTGTGGGTAACATCAAAAAATGGTATCAGCAGAAAATCAACAAACAAAAATAAACACTTTTTGAGGCTGAAATTTATAAACATAGCTATCAGGTGTCAAAATTATGAATACAAAATAAGGTAATACTCTAGCACCTACTACAGTCTTCCAATAACTGTTTTTTTCTTGGAAAAATAGTGCTGATGCACTAATAAAATAACGTTGATCCTTAATACTGTGAGGCAGTATTTGATAGTTCCAATAACTCTCTAATAACCCGAAGCGCTAACCCTAATAGCGGAAGACACGTAAAAAAGCGAATCGCGCATCCAATAAACGTCAAAATACCGTAAGCGTTATTAGCGCATGACGTTTTTTGTCGAGCAATATCTCTCCATTAAACGTATGCGCGATTCGATTTTTAACACTACATACTGAAATAACGTTACCGCATTACGTAATTTACCCAACATTTACGTTAAGCGCTATTTCGAATAACGCCTAAAAAATTCTCAAATAGGCATGCGCAGGTTTTTGAGAACGGGCTGGTTGAATATTATAGGTTATGTTATGTTAAAAAAAAATAATAAAAAGCATTGAAAATTCAAAACCTTGACCCCATGCAACTCTGACCAAAAACAACAAATTCAACATTGAGAAATCAAAACAAGGTACAAGTTAGGTTAAGATTATAAAATAACGGATGCGAATAGGCAAATTTTACGTAAAACTGTTTTCCGATAACTGTAATTTGAAAGTATGATACCGCTTTACGTAAAAAAAATAACTCCTGACGTTATTGCCGTCCATACGCGCTATCTGGTTCACCGATATCTCTCTAATATCCTTGCGTCATGACGTCATTTTCATTATTGACCTAGGTATTTTATCATTATTTTCATTATTCACCTAGGGAAAAAAATTCAATTTTTTCCTGGAAAAATAGATTGAATAATTGACTATTTCTCAGGTTAGTAGTAAAAAAACTTAAATTTTACATACTAGTGCTTAAAGGAATTCAGTTTATAAACTAGAGAGTAAAAAATCGTATAAAGGACCCCGCACATTTCTTATGGAAAAGTGATCTATGTGGAATTTTGCTGAATTTTTGATATTGTGTATAGGGAGTCGCCCTTAACAAAAGTGATCATTGCGCTAATGTACAATACCCAACAGTTTTCAAGATATCAATTAAAAACTTTAATTTGATACTCTTCAGTATGACGTCACCAGTATGCTCACAGCACTGAAAATTAAAACTATCCTTGCCACTTTTGACTTTGACTACCTATACTTATACTCTTCTCCTTTTAACATAGGAAATAAAAAAAAACAACAACAGGTACAAATGAAATCGCTATATGACAGACATCATGACATGAAGTTGACGATTGCGGCAGGAGCTTGTTTACATACCTACCTATTTGTCACTAATCGCTATCGCTATCTTTTTTTTTTCCTAATGTTAAAAGGAGAAGAGTAAAGTCAAAGTCAAAAGTGGAAAGGATAGTAATAAGGGCGCTTTCTTTTATTCAGCGGTGGATCCATCAGTAATCAGCCTTTCTTTGTCTAGCTCATAGAAAATAGGAATGTTTGTCTTATTATGATGGCAGCAGATGGATGCATTGCTGAATAAAAGAACGCGCCCTAATTTTCGTTGCGGAAGAGTATTTTTTAAAAAGTTTTTAATTGATATCTTGAAAACTGTTGGGTATTGAACATTAGCGCAATGATCACTTTTGTTAAGGACGACTCCCTATACACAATATCAAAAATTCAGCAAAATTCCACATAGATCACTTTTCCATAAGAAATGTGCGGGGTCCTTTTTCAAATGTCGATAATGCAGAAACCTGCATTCGTAAAAAAAAAGAAATCTTCAAGACTGTCATGTCAAGAGACCAGCAACATAACCCTATTTCCTGCATAAACGTTTTGTTTACATTTTCGATTATCACCTGAGAAAAGCAAAATTAACAATGTCTTTGGCCGACGAGCTTTTAGCAGATCTCGAAGAAAACGAGCATGAAGACGAAGAAGAAGACGAAGACGAGCCTATGGAACCCCAAGCGGAAGAAATTGAGGAAAAAGAGCAGAAACCCGATATAAAGCAACTGCAAATGGAAATTGACACTACACAGATTCATTCAGTCAGAGGTAAAACTACCCTGTTCAATACAAAACCCTTTGTAACTTATTTTCCTATACAGAATTATGCAAACTACTAGACTCTGAGAAGCTCCAAAGCATAATAAAACAAATCGAAAACTACGGCACCAAAGTGCGAAAAGCAACCGAAATTGTTGGACCAGTCGAATCAGACCCCGAATACCAACTAATTGTAGAAGCAAACGATCTCGCTGCAGATATTGACAATGAAATTGTAACAGTTCACAAATTTGTCAGAGACAAATACCAAAAAAGATTCCCTGAACTAGACTCTCTTGTTGTTAGTCCTCTAGAATACGTAAGGACAGTGAAAGAATTGGGAAATGATTTAGATCAAGCCAAAAACAATGAAACCTTGCAAACATTTCTCACTCAAGCTACAATAATGGTTGTATCTGTAACAGCTTCAACAACCCAAGGAACCTTACTATCAAAATTTGAAAAAGAACAAATCAATGAAGGTTGCGATATGGCAATAGAGCTCAACAACTCAAAACTAAAAATCTATGAGTATGTTGAAAGTAGAATGACATTTATAGCTCCAAATATAACCATTATCCTTGGAGCTTCAATAGCAGCCAAAATAATGGGGGTTGCAGGAGGATTGACCAGACTATCAAAAATACCTGCTTGTAATGTTTTATTGCTGGGCCAGCAAAAAAAAAGTTTGTCTGGGTTCAGTCAGGTGGCAATGCTACCTCATACAGGCTTTGTTTATTACTGCGAAATTGTACAAAACACTCCAGCAGATTTGAGAAGAAAAGCTGCAAGATTGGTTGCTACTAAATGTACTTTGGCCGCAAGGGTAGATGCTTGCCATGAAAGTTCTGATGGTAAAATAGGGAGGATGTTAAGAGATGAAGTCGAAAGAAAATTAGATAAACTTCTAGAGCCTCCTCCAGTCAAGTTTATTAAGCCTTTGCCCAAGCCTATAGATCAACCTAAAAAAAAGAGGGGTGGCAAAAGAGTGAGGAAAATGAAAGAGCGATATGCTTTGACTGAATTTAGAAAACATGCTAACAGGATGAACTTTGCTGATGTAATTATTTTTCTTCAATATTATAGAGACTTTATTAATAGAGTTGTTATTTTAGATTGAAGATGATGCTTATCAAGAGGATTTGGGCTACACTAGAGGCACTATAGGCAAAGCAGGCACAGGCAGAATAAGGCTGCCTCAAGTTGATGAAAAAACCAAAGTCAGGATATCAAAGACGTTGCAAAAAAACCTTCAAAAGCAACAGATATGGGGTGGAAGTACTACAGTGAAAAAGCAAATTTCTGGTACAGCTTCCAGTGTGGCTTTCACTCCATTGCAGGTAAGAATTTGTTTTTTTTTCTAGGAGTTTGTTTAAAAGGTTTGTTTTTAGGGTTTGGAAATTGTTAATCCTCAAGCGGCGGAAACAAATGTCAGTGAAGCCAAGTACTTTTCGAATACTTCTGGTTTTTTGAAATTGGATAAGAAATAGTTTATTTTTAAGGTTTTATAGGTATTAAGAAATGAATGTTGTTGTGAATAAAAAATCTATTCCAGGCTCTTGACTCTTGAATCATCTATTTTTCTTAAATTTATACAGGGTGTAAAAAAAATAGTGTACCAAACTTCAAGGGGTGATACTACATATGGAAATAAGAAAAAAGGTTTCTATGAACATAATATGCTCTAAGATGCTCCCTAAAGAAGTTACAGCCCTTCAAATGCTAGATGAAAATAATAAATTGATGATGAGAAAGTCGTGAAAATTCTGAAAGGGTAATTTCCATAAGGGTAGAGGGTAGAGATTAAAGTGTGGTAACGTTACCGCGGTAAAGGTAATTTTGGTAATTTAACCCGACAAATTTCTTTACCGGTAATTTTCAGAAATACTTCCTTAATGAAATCACATTCAGGCGACAATCTTTTTCAAGTATTATTCGCCATCTTGTTGTGAATCTGTAACGCGCTTTTTGAGTTGGCATAAACAAATACTTATTTACTTAACAAGTGCGGAAAGTGGTACGTTTCCGCATGCAACGGCAGTTAGCAAGCTGTCAAGGGTGGAAAAGACATTTTCCGCAGAAGTTAGGTGTAATGTTTTTCCACAAGTATTTTTGCTCATCTCATTTATCAAAAATTGATCAAAAAATCTGCGTAAGTTCTAGGTTTTCTCAATGAAAAATAGTTCCTATAGATAGATAGTAATTTGATTTGAAGTGAAAAATATGTAGTACCTATATTTTGAATTAAAACATTGTACTCGTAGGAAAAACCTATTTCAAAAACTTGGTGGGTTTTTGTTGAGTTCTGAGTTGAAAATAATTTAAAATGTCAAAGATCTTACCACACAAAAACCCTACAAACGCATAACTCTAGCAAAAAGCCAAAAAACCAATGGAAATTTTAAAAAACCCGGGCTTTTGCCAACCCTGTGCGATAAATGGTTGTTTAGGTAAAAAATCCTGAAAATATATAATCCTTGAACGTATAGTATAGTATTATAGTCATAATTGTTGTTTCATGGAATATTTCCAAAATAACCGAAAAATTACCAGTAAATTACCACTGAGAAAGATCAAATGAAAATTACCGGTAAACTTCAATCTCTAGTAGAGGGTAGTTCATAAAACAAAAAACATCTTAGAGTATATATCCATAGGAACCTTTTTTTCTTATTTTCATATGTAGTATCCCCCTCAAAGTCTGGTACATAATTTTTTTTACACCCTGTATTTATGAGGAATAACAACATGAAAAATTATGGTAATCAAGTTACAAAAACAGAAAAAATTGTTAATACAGTCTCACATAATTCGAAGTTTTCCTGGAAAACTGATTTACGGAAAATTTTGAAACTTTTTACATGTAAAGAGGAAGGTTAGAGGCTCATTTTTCCAGTGAAAAATAGCAACATGAATATGAAGAATCTTGAAAGTCAACCTACAAAAACTGAATTAATTGAAAATACAGTCTCATACATTTCAATGTTTTCCTGAAAAACTAGCGGAGGCAAAAATTTGAAACTTTTTGCATATATGTGAAGAGAAAGGTTAAAGCGAGGGTTAAAGCCTCATTTTCCCAATATTTCAAATTTTTCCAGTAGAAAATAACAACATAAAGAATCTTGGAAATCAACCTCCAATAACTGAATTAATTGAAAATACAGTCTAACACATTTCAAAGTTTTCCTGGAAAACATAGTGAAGGGAAAATTTTGAAACTTTTTGCATGGAAAGAGGGAGATCAGAGGCTCATTTTCCCATAATTTCAAACTTTTTCATTGGAAAATAACAACATGAAGAATCTTGAAAATCAACTTTCAATAACTGAATTAACTGAAAATATAGTCGCACACATTTCAAAGTTTTCCTGGAAAACTAGTGAAGGGAAAAATTTTAAACTTTTTGCATGTGAAGAGATTCATTTTCCCATAATTTCTAATTTTTCTAAGGAAAATAACAACATGAAGAATCTTGTAATCAACCTTCAAATAACTAAATTAATTGAAAATATAGTCTCACACATTTCAAAGTTTTTCTGGAAAACTAGTGAAGGGAAAATTTTGAAACTCGAGACCGAAAATTTCTTCAATAAAAATGAATGTTCAACGTTCAAGACAAAACTAGATTTTTTTTAAAAATTTTCCATTTATTTGTTACTTATAGATAATAAGAATGTGAACCTCACTGACGTCATGACCCTACAATTTCCTTCAAATTTCTCATAATTTCATCCAAATTCCCCATAAATTTCTCCAAATTTCGTATAAATTCCCCAAATTCTCATAAATTCCCATGGGTTCCTTTAAATTCCCCAAATTTTTGGCAAATAATTCCTAAGTGGTTTGCCCCTTAATTTCCATAAGATTATGTATTATAATTTAATTGCCATATTAATAATTCGATGTGTGTATAAACTCAAACACCTTTCTTATTTCGGCACCTGTCCGATTGCTGTATCAACACTGGTACCTCCATTTTATTGGTTCCTTCCGCACCCAATTTTTTTTTTTAGCAATCGAAAGTGTTTTTTCTTCATTTCTGAAGGTCCCTGACCCTTTGGTTTCGGCAAACGAATGTGTTGCCATTGTTTGGTACCACCAAAAAAGTAAACCGATAAGTATCATCCGACAGGGAAACTTTCCTTTTTAATAATAATTAATTGATGCTGGGCAAAATGATGTTTAAAATATACAAAGATTTGTTTTAGGCTTCTAAAGTAAAAAAAAAGAATAATCTACAATTACCTATTTCAAGATGCAAAATAATGGGCAGTTAACCAGAAGAAGAGATAACAATAATTAAAATTCTAAGCGAACGGTTTTAGAACAATAATTATAGAGTATTATCAAGATGCGGAGCGTTATAATAAGTGCAGATTGTTAACCTTAATCTTAATCTGTAATAAAGCAAGAAATTAGCGATCAATTTTCGGTCTGTGTGTGATTATGCATTGTCTACTGACCACTAAAAACCAACTACTGGATATCTGGGTTAGATTTTGCCTTACAATGTATAAAGGCTTTGTTTAAATAGAATCTAAATATTTTGATAGAAAATTTTTAATTACATGATGGTTAAAGTTCATACTTGAGATTAAAAAGAAAAAGATAATTAAAGTAATAATTATAAAATCTTGAAACAATAATCAATTTGCGATTATCATCAAAAGGTACAACCTATAGTCACAAATCATATTGGATTAAAGTGCAATTTCATCCAGCAAGTACCAAAAAGGTGTACCCAAGAAGCAGAAGAGAACGGAATGAAATAAGAGAAAAACAGGTATGCATGCACACAGCACATACACGTTCTACGGTGGCACAAAATAAAGGTATTCTCTGTTGCGTGGTGCGCATTTTCAGCACCGACTCGCCGGTGTTCGGCCCGCCACCCAGAGTACCACCAGTGGTACGTCCTTCAAGACATGTGCATTTTGAATGAAAACTTTTAAATTGTGGAAAATGAGTGTTTTGTGACTGAAAGTTTTTGCGTGCATTCGTAATTATGGAATCTTCTACTGATGGTATGACATCGGAAGATTTTCAACGGGAACTGGAATCGATTTGTCTACAACAGGGTAAGAACAAGTTTACAGTTATGTTTACTTTCATTTTCAAAGTTTACGTTAACATTCTTTGAAATATAAATATTCAATGATAAGAATTTGCTTAACAAATTTTGAGTTAGTAAAAGTGAATTTTTGATTATAAAAATTGCTATTTGTAGCATTTTCAATTTCTACTTAGTTATGAGAAATATTTAAGATAGGTAGGTAAATAAATTAACAACTATGTAAAAGGAAAAAATAACAAGCACTTTGCATAAATTTAAATTGGCATTTGGTATGTAGGCAGTCTGTCATAAAAAAATCATAATCTTAAACCAGTTTACAAAAGTATAAAGCATAGAGGCACAGCCTTGATACTGTGAGCTTAAAGGCAAATATAATCACTTTTATTACAAAAGAAGTGGGTGGATGACATTTTTTTGTTCTTCAGAGAAAAATTCTTTTGCTTCAAATGCATTCTTTTGCCTAGATACATTTTCAATAATTGAAAGTTTTCTCAGATTTCACAGTCACATCAAATTGAATTGTCCTGATTTACTTTATATTAATAATTTATTCGCATGTCCCACAAAAGATAAATAGACGCATAATTATGCGATTTATAGTTCCTTCCTGATTTCACAAGATTATTATTATTGTTATATTGATTTATCATATTTATATAGAATGCATGATTTAAATTTCCAATAATAAATTGTTTTCAGTTTTTACTCAATTCAAAAAATTCACATTCACATTATTCCAGTGATGTTTCTTATGCTATTGTTTCTACATGGTGTCCACCTGACTATTAGGTAGTTACTTCACGATTCAATAATAGCTTTTATATGCTTAGTATTGGATTGTATTTTTCTTGATCTGCTCAGTTTATTCAATTTATGTCAATTCTACCTTGTAAATGGCAGTTTTTGGACTTGCTTTTTTTTTTTCAAAAAAAAGGAAAATTCAAAAATTTTAAATTTCCTTCGCCATAATCCCATTACTTTTCCTTCTACAGAATCCACAAAAGTTGTTGGTTCTTTTGCATCATTAAAATTAAAATTCAATAGAACTTTCTGGTCGCAATCAATCATGCCATATATTCACCTAATGACGAAATTCTAAAATAATTACCCAGAAAACATACACAAGTGACACTAATAAGTAAAGTGTAAACACATGAATGAACGTGCATCAAATGGGGCCTTCTATTACATAACGTGTTTACATGGTACTGCATGTAGGCGGGCGACAGTTATGCAATTTCTGTCTTTTTGTTTAACGACAAACAATAATCTGGAATGAATTTGTAGCTGGTAATTTATGAAGTATAAATTCATTATTTGTAGGTGGTACCGTACTTGAACACAATGCACAATCAAACCAAATCCAATTGTACTTTTGTTTTTTCAAAACGTCTGAAAACAGTAACTGCAAGAGTAATTTAATTAGGTACGACCTCGCCTTGACTTTCATATAGAGTAATAATGATAATAATAACAGGTACTTG